CTGCCTTTTGAAAGTTTCGCGTTTGTGGCTCGCGATTGTAACTCCGCAAACGTTCAGCGCCTTACCCATGTTATACCTTTATACCAGCTCGATCAGGCCGAACGTTTTTAATTCTGTGGCGTGTACGACCTGTTATGTATAATTCATTCGTTATTATACTTAATATTCGTTACTATATTAAACTTAACTTGGAACTGCTAATTCGTTAGCCTCAATTGTCCCTTGCAGTTCAATCACTCCTACTAAGTCTCGTGATTGAGCTAAAAGATCGCCGAACATCTCATTTTAAAGCCTTATCGATTTCCTATACGCATGATACTAGAAATGAAATTACAGAAGTTTTAAATTGTTTGACCAGGGTCATCGTTAAGATATCAAGATTGATGAAGCTGATAATATTTGTGCTGAGATGTATTCGAAATAACACTGTCTAACATTTACCTTAATAAAGTTGTGTAGGCACAATCTTTAATGATGATACTAATGATACTATGCAACAAAAGTATAGTGACAGAGATCTTTGCTAGATAACCGGCCTAATTCTTCACCGTGCTGGGTTCCTGACCTTGCTTCATCTACACACACAAATGGTCAGAACACTGAACCCTATTTTAAATTATTTATGATCAGCTGAAAAGCAGTGGCAAACATATTCAATGGCTTTCAGATTTAAACTGAGACCAACAAAATAGATAACTCATCTCTGCCACCTAAATCATCTGATCCACCCAAATCATCAGCTCATCCCAAATCATAAGCTCAACCCAAATCATTAGCTCAACCCAAATCATCAGCTCAACCCAAATCATCAGCTCAACCCAAATCATTAGCTCAACCCATATCATCAGCTCAACCCAAATCATCAGCTCAACCTAAATCATCAGCTCAAGCCAAATCATCAGCTCAACCCAAATCATCAGCTCAACCCAAATCATTAGCTCAACCCAAATCATCAGCTCAACCCAAATCATCAACCACGTGCTTGCACTTACTAAGAGTTTTTGTAATGAAATGTCTCCTGAGCAACACATCTTATTTGTTTCTTATCTTACTAGTGTACATAACAAGGCCATTAATGAGAAATTCAGACGTATAGCTAAGAAAGATGCTGGAGAAGAGTGTGTTGTCGATGATTTGGGAATTCTGACTCGAAACGGTGTTGATAAATCTACAACATCAGCCCGCTTTGATGCTCCACCTACTGGTGATTTGAAATCTCCCCATCCAACGCCTGTTCTTCAGGATCCTTCTGATGACAGTTCTGCTTTTAATTCTGTAGTGTACTCTGTTGCTTTTAGTAACTTAGGTGAGCCTATTCTGAAGGAGGAGAAATGTTTGAGCCACGAAGTTATTTCATTTGCGTTAGGTAAGTCCTCCTACGATCAGATAACCCATTTTAGGATGAAGAAAGAAATTGATAAGCAAGTTATGGGCGCTGATGGATCTACCACGGACCCTTGCTCTATCTTTTCCGTTGCTTTCCTCCCAGACCTTCGAAAACTCGGAGTCCTGGTTGAGATGTCAGCGACAACTTCCTTGAACATGGGTATTGGTCTTAGTACGATAGTTGAATCCTTGAGCTCGAATACCGACTTCATAATCATGACTCAGTGTGACGACACCAAACAGCTGAATGGTGTTCGTACACACTTCGATGTTGAATATGCAGATAGTCAGCTCAAGTTCGATACCCTAGCATTTGTAAGTAAGACTGGTCAAGGTTCATACTCAAGCTTTATACGTCTAGACGATCATTACTATGAGTTTTCCAACACTAAGTCTAATCTACTCTCTAAACATGCATTCCTAGAATTTTCACGTTCAGCCTGTCTTGTAATCTAAGTTAAGTACCCCTGTTTCTGATCAGTCTAAGCCCGCACCTAGTGTTGATAAAAGTAAGCGCCCAGTACTTGATATATTTGATTTTGAACCGTCCTCAGGCTTTAAGAGAGCACAGCCGTCACAAGCTGGTGCTAAGCGTAAGAAGATTAAGGTTAGTGCAGAATCAAAATCAACTTCAGTATCTAGTAACTGGCTCACTCACTCCGACACAGGAAGACTTAGTATGTATTCGGAGCAATATGATATTTGTCAAAGTTCTAGTACATGGTATGATGATATTATAGTTAATAGTTATAGCAACATGTGTAGAATTCATCGTTCCAACTCATTTTCATTTCAAGACACTTGCTTATCCAGTCCTTATAGTTATAGTAGTTTTAGTCCAGTTGACAGTAAGTTTATCCAGATAATTAATCCTAGTAATTTACATTGGTTCTGTATATCTAACGCCCTTACTTTCATAAGTGAACCTCATGTTGTAGAAATTTTTGATTCCATGAAAACCTCAGCTAGTTTAGAGAACAGTACTGTTTTAGATAAGTCCATCACTCACTGTATTCTTAAGTTAAGACCTCTCACTACTTTAGTTAGGTATATTGATACGCAGGTGCAGGGTAATTCTTATGATTGTGGTCCTTTGGCTTTAGGTTTCTTGTGGGCATTATCTAAGGGACATCATCCCCGTCAGTACGAGCACTTAAGAGGCCCAATGATCCGCTCTAAGGTAAGGCAAAGCTTCATAGAGAATAGGTTTGTCCCTCCTACCACTAAGCCTCCTAGAATGCACAATAAAGTAACATTGAGATCTTTTAAACTTGATTTCAGGTCTAAGTCTTTCGTTCATCAGTCTTAGGCGTTAGAATTTTCTGAATTGCAGTACATTGTAGTATATATATAATATATAGTATTCCAAGTTGCATCCTAGATATCATGAAAATATACACCTAAAGATGAATCATGTTTTTCATTCGATAAATTTGCAAATGTCAGCTTTTCGAGTTTGATATATTTCGTTTAGCCTGATAAAAGAACGTTTCTTGACTTCTCAACTGTCAGATTTGAAAAATAACTGTACGATCCCCATTTTCACAAATTTTGTTTACACTCTGAATCTACGATTACGTGCGGTCGACGAATTTTCACCTAACCCACTTCAGGATGCAAAGATAGATAACGTTGAAAGACCATTGCTCTATTGGTTTGTATTTTGAACTACTATCATAATAATTACTGGATGGAGTTAACTGTGAAACTTAAATTATTTATTACTGGCAATGAGAGATATGATGTAATTTTGAATGTGATCTGATTGTTTGTGCGGCCAACTGGTCGTGAAGAAAGAAGACTGCGCCTTCTTGTCCTGCTACAGAGTTCCTTCTTCCCCCTTCTCCTGCTGGATCCAGACAAAGCTTACAACAGTTCCAGAATTTGATAACAACAGTTCCAGACAATGAGTTTCAGATCAACAAAAGCTTAGATATTTACGAATGGGACAAAATAGCTTGTTATAACTAGCTAGGGAGCACCTATCGGCTATCAGCACTTACCTAACATCCCCTAATCCCCTATCTTGGTATCACTACCTCTTCAGAAACCAACCCTAATTCTTCCTCCGGGCTCCCGCCTCCCATACCTCCTGAACAAAATGATAAGCAGCTTGTCGAGACTTGGAACTGGATTTGCTCTCACTTGGAACTGGATTTGCTCTCACTTGGAACTGGATTTGCTCTCACTTGGAACTGGATTTGCTCTCACTTGGAACTGGATTTGCTCTCACTTGGAACTGGATTTGCTCTCACTTGGAACTGGATTTGCTCTCGCGGGATCAGAAATGGATCCTTCCCAGCCTACTATCCTTACCCACAGCTTCACCTCTACCTTCCTCCAACCTTGCCTGGAACTTCATCCTACTACTGTGCTTAGTTCTTTTAGATCTGCGTTTAAATTATTATAACCGAGTTAAATTATTTTGAAGGTATTGAAGTATTGAATGATATTATGATTGATGTTGTGCAAAACTATTACTACCGCTTTATTACTGCCAATTGCTGTTACAATTTGTAGAAACTGATTTATACATTTGTACATATGATATCAAAAAATCAAATCTCAAAAATAACAAAGTAACAATCTGCTCTCTTTAATTATTGAAATCCATCCAAGTAAAAAGTTGTATTACCAGAGAGGTTAAATTTAAATTTCAAACAACCTTGTCTACAGCTTCTTGGAAGAAAATGGAACCGGATTCTAGTGGACGTTCTGAAACTAGTAGGGCTACAAAACTAAGTTGGAACACATCTTGTTTGAATACTGTTGAACCAAATTCAACTCTCTGCAACAACACAAGCAGACAAAATTTCTCAAAATCCGTTTTATCTGCTCAACTGGTTCTAAATTCTTGAATCCAGCCAAGGGTATAATGGGTGTTCTGGGAGTGCTAGGGCCACCAAAATTTGTAGGAACACTATTAGGGTCAATACCAAACGATTCCTACCTGTTTTGGGGCAATCCGACGAGTTTTAGAAAAATGTTCATTTTTGTTCATTTCGTTCATTCCATGACTCAGGGAGTCTTGGGCGACTATTTTGACGTCAAAATAGTTAGTAAACACATCCCCCTACACCGTACAATCATCTCCAGCACTCTGCAGCCCCTTTAACAGACTGAAATGACCGTATCAATATCGGATACTCAGGAACCAGCTTTTTGATACGGAAATGGAATCAAGTCTCTAGTGGGCGTTCTGGAGTGCTAGGGCCACCAAACTTTGTAGGAACACTATAAGGGTCAATACCAAACGATTCCGACCTGTTTTGGGGCAATCCGATGAGTTTTAGAAAAAAATTCATTTTTGTTCATTCCGTTCATTCCATGACTCAGGGAGCCTCTGGCGATAATTTTGACGTCAAAATAGTTAGTAAACACATCCCCCTACACCGTGAAACCATTTCCAGCACTCTGAAATTACTTTAACAGACTAAAATGACCGTATCAAAATGCCTCAAAAACCGTATCATCTGGTTCCACAATCTCGGATTCATCTTCTGACTTCAGATGTAACACGCCAAAACCAAAGTATTAAAGCTCTTTGGCTAGCATCGAGTACGATACGACGCGCAATTGTGCTTGAAGTGACGACGCGCACGAGCGATAAGGAGCTACTTATCGCTCGATCGACCGAGCGATAAGTCCGCGCGGCACCCGACTACCATGAGCCTAACAGCATTTGAGAGAGTGAGGGGTCGTAGATTCTTCACTGGACCAATGGGCTTATTTGGCTTCTGTAAGGGGGTAATGTTTGCCTGTCCAATGGGGTCAAGGTAGGAATTGGTCTCGAAGCTTCTATTGATAATGTCTGCAAAACGTCTGTGTACTGATCCAGTAGAATACTTGAGAAGCTCATTAGGAATCCCATCTGGGCCGTTAGCTCGACCATTTTTGAGACTTCTAGCAGCTGATCCGACTTCTTCACTAGTGAATGGCTTAACTAGTGGGCGAGGAGGTCCTACAAAAGGTTCTAAAGGTGCTTCATCACGAGTAAGTTGTTGCTCAAGGTACTTAGCAACTACGGCAGCTTTACCAGTGTCTGTTGCAATATTGCACCCTTGCTCATCATGAACACCAATACTAGAAGGGGCTTTACTTTTAGGTAAGTTCAGGGTTCGAACAGCTTCAAACATTTTCTTACTATCTGTTGTTGAACTGATGGTATTACAGATAGCATCAGCAGCAGCTGATCGTATGTTAGAAAGTCTCTGCTTGATCTGATTGGTGAGGCAGTTAATGGATGATCTAAGTGAGGATCTGTCTAAAGACTGGTTATCATTAAGCTGCTGTCTCAACAAGTAACGCTGGCTAGATAAGTTTTTCACCTCATCATCGTCGCTGCGATTACGTTTCCTGTGTCTGATGACACCAATTGACGATTTTGCAGCATCCTTTATGGACTCAAGTAAGCCATTCAAGTCTGAATTTGGATCCAGAGCAGAAACAGTGTTACTTAAGTTATCATCTAAGGATTGACGATATTTCACCTGAATGGTGGGGTTCGAGGTGAGTTCAGAGGTGTTGAACTTTAAGGATGACTTGGAGTGGCGTTTATAGCAAAGACAGATGTCCTTAAAGTCTACTCTAGTGACAACAAATCTGTGATCAGAGTATGTCAAGGTGCCTGCATAAGATCTAGAATCTTGTAGCATTGGCTTCGACCTACTTCGACACAGGATGAAATCGATCTGAGAATAGACCGGGATCGTCTTTTTACTATTTCGCCCGGCACTCCAGTCCTTCCTCCAGCCAGTGTAGGTGGTCGTATGTCGAGCAGGATGATAAAAACCAGTGTTGGAGGCAAAGAGGTCAAATTCTGATAACAAGTCTAACAAGTTTTCTCCCATATCATTGCGCAAACCCATACCATGTTTACCCATGAAACGACCAAAACCAAAGTCCTTATCTGAAACAGTCATTTTTCCCAACTTTGAATTAAAATCTCCCAAAACAAATATCTCAACATTAGCAGGGACGTTTAGAGTGTCCCTAACTTGGCCGTAAAAATTAATCAACAGTTGTTGATCATTTTCTGCAAGTTTCTTGTGTGGCCCATATACATTGACCACCCTACATTTGATAAATTTTCCAGATTTTGTAGGGAGTTCTAGGTCCAAAAAGCTTACTCGATCACTGATACTGTTCCAGCATACCACATAGTCAATAAATCGGGGACTGATAACAAAACCGAGTCTATAGTGCCGGCCATTTTTCTGCTCAAACAATAATAGTTTGTATCCGTTGCTAAGACTGCAAGAATCCGGTTTTACAACCTTAGTCTCCTGAATAGCGCAGATATCTATGCCGTACCGTAGACAATCGGTACCCAGTTGCTCCCGTTTGCTGTGGATGTCGTCTGGATCATCACAAGAAATTAGTAAGTATCAAATTAAAGTAATCTATTCAATTTAATGTATAGAGGACAAAAAAGATCTGTTTCCCGACAAATCATTCAAAAAGATTTACTGAATAGAGTCATAACTTAGTAATCAGTTATATAATAAATTCCCGAATCAGTGCTAATCACAACTTAAAACTACTGAAAGCAGGTAAAACACGATACATTTAAATGCAGTCTATTCATCATCTCTGTGTCAGTTACAAAATGACCAACTCACTACACCACGAATTACATTCTATATATGAGCTATAATTCACCTTTTTCAAAAAATTATCTTGAATTCATCCTCACAGGTAAATACTTCGGTGGAATTTCACCATATAATTGTACTGAGCTGTATCATTATATCGGGCTTGTTGAATTCTTCAAAACTTAAATATTGAACGTGCCAAAGCTTCTTCATCATTATGAGTTAGAATTTATTTTCACTGTAGCTTCAGCCGTCTCCAACTCTTTATTGTTGTATGACCACAAGAAATCCAAAAGAGAAAGTAAGCTGTTTTACGACAACATTTTTACCTAACATGGAAAATAAACTTCAATTGATAAGGTTAAATACGTTTAACCTTATAAACTGTTGGTGCATTATATCTTTATATTAACTAAATATTGATATAAAATATGGGAAACAGATTCGGTTAATCAGTGGAAAAGTGTTATCAGGTCGACGGTAATATAGATGAAAAATGCTTTTCCGTAGCATAAATAAGATCTGTAATCTTAACATATATATCTTTCCGTGTCATTCTAAAAATTTTTGTCTTGGGCATTGGCGCTTTGCCACGTGGCAGGCTCCCAATATCTTAATTTTACTTTTAAATTTCCCTGTTCCTTGTTTTTGTTAACGTTAAGTGAGCGTGATACGATTTTTGCACTTAGACTTAAATATTAAAACAGGGGTTGGCATGATCGCAGTTGCGTAAAATTAAATCTGCCAACTTGACTTCAACCATCTAATAAATAAAAATATGGCTAGCTTATTTTTTCTAATTCCCCCTTATGCGTCTAACTTTGAAATCTTAACAAGAAGGAGGCTATTTACAATGTAAATGCAACAAACTAAACTCATTTGATAGCCTGGAAATGGTGAGTTTTAACAAACCGTTCGTTCTGAAACGAATATGACGGAACCTCCACCATCTACACCAGATGTAAGCCTTCTCAAACTAACTGAATACAGAATATACGATGGCTTGGTAGCCGCAGGATTACTAGTATGTTTGGTGATAGGACTTCCGGGCAATTGTCTAGCTTTGAGGTACTTTCTTCAGACAGGGAAACGAAATCTCTCAACCCTTATCTACATGATTACCTGCTGTATAGACATAGTCTCCAGTTTGATTCATCTTCCAGTCACTGTCAATTGGTTGAACAATAGACACCCTGGCTTATTCGGCAACAGACCTTTCTGCAAAATATGGTATTTCTGCATCCTCTTGCTTCAAGTTATGTCCATCTTTGTGGCGATGATGCTCTCTTTGACAAGAACTATCGTCATTTATTCCCCATTTTACAAGATTAAGAAAATTGTTGTCATCATTTCGATCATCGCAGCTTTCTTGTACAACTCTGTTTGGAACGCATTAGATGTGATTATTATGGATGATTACTATTCCTATGGTTTTGGATACTGTGCTGCTGAGTCAGAAGGGACATACAGCACCATTTCCATGATTAGCTACTGTGTGTGGACTGGAATTCCTCCCCTGATAACGCTTATGTCAGTAGTGGGTTCTACGAAAAGAATAAACAGTATCAATTTGCCGGACACTTTCCGACGGAAAAATCGGGAGGCTTCAAAAACTATCATATACTTTTCAGCTACTTTCCTCGTCTGTAATTGTCTCACTTTCACGAACAATGCTCTATACACTGTTACTTCATTCGAGAATTATCCAGGTCCTATCTACAAAAATGGATTCATGTTTTTTTACAGCTGGTTGCTGAGTGAATTGTTCTGCACTGTTCTAAATGCAACTCTGAACCCGATCCTATATTTCTGGAGAATGAAAGAGATGAGAGAATGGGTGATGAGACCTGTCCAGAACATTTTCAGGTCTGTTTCAACGGCAACAGTGATAGCTAATCCGACGAATGTGTCTCAAGGTGAGACTTCATTTTGAATACCAGGGGGAAACACATGAACGCAATCTGTTGAACTGAAAACAGCATCTGGAAGTAAATCTATCACAACCTGTAACAGAGCCAGCTGCAGGAGGAGCATGTGATGATAAATACTGTTCAGAAACTGTAACATCGTTCAGATAAAACTACTGGACTAATCTAGAATTTATATTCTACGGAATTTATCGTGATTTGAAAACAGGAGAAATATCGAATAAGAGATATCACGAGAAAAATTTCCAGCCAAATATTTGTACAACTACAATGGGTGCAGGAGAATTATCTCTTTTTTGCATTACATGGTCTTTAGCAGAACGATTTTAAAGAAGGATGAAGAATTGTGAATTAAGTAATTTTATTTGGTAGGACAATTAGTGCTGTAATGTTTGTTTACATACATGTTACATGGTAAGGTCTCCTCCTAGTCGTTGGAGTGGCCTGCATCACACACATCGCGTTGGCGGCGTAACATATGTCTCCACTGTACTCGGTTGGTAGCCAAAGCTTCTGTTGTGTCTTTGTCGATGTTTTCAACACCTGTAACTAGCTTAGCAGCATCTTCGAGTACGCAGGACTTCCAGTTCTTACGGGGTCTGCCCCTTGACCTCATTCCATAGTTTGGCTTCCAGTTCAACAGAAACCTCGGTAGTCTAGAGTCTGGCATTCTAACTACATGTCCATACCAACGTAGCCTGGCAGCACTGATGAAAGTCTCAACTGACTTGATGCCAGCCCTCCAAAGAACTTCGTCGTTGGTTACATGAAAGAACCATTTAATCCTAAGGATCCTTCTCAAGGAGGTTTGATGGAAAACCTCGAAAAGTTTCATCTGCTTTTTGGTGGTGTTCCAGACTTCAGCTCCATACAACAAGATGGTGAGGACAGCAGCCCTATAGATCCTGATCTTGGTTGGAGTCTTTATAGTTCTGCTATTCCAAATGTTCCAGAGCTGATGAAAGGCGCCATTAGCCTTCTGGATACGGACATCCAGGTCTCTGTTGATTGTCCCATCCCCACTAATAGTTGCACCCAGGTAGACAAAGTTTTGTCTTGACAAATGTTTGTTTGGTATAATTATATTAGCTGATTTTGTCTTCAAAATTCATATTATAGAAATGAAAATTGAAAACCTTCAGTGTAACTTCTTTTATAACGACCATGGCACACTTCTCACCTTTATAAGTTTATTGTTGAAGTATAGTGAGGCACACTCCTTACTGTTGTATCAGACACACTTCAATTCTGATACAACCAAATTGTATAGACACACTTCTCTCCTTTACGTATTTGTTGTTGAAGTTTAGTAAGGCACACTCCTTACTGTTGTATCAGACACACTTCAATTCTGATACAACCAAATTGTAAAGACACACTTCTCTCCTTTACGTATTTGTTGTTGAAGTTTAGTAAGGCACACTCCTTACTGTTGTATCAGACACACTTCAATTCTGATACAACCAAATTGTAAAGACACACTTCTCTCCTTTACGTATTTGTTGTTGAAGTTTAGTAAGGCACACTCCTTACTGTTGTATCAGACACACTTCAATTCTGATACAACCAAATTGTAAAGACACACTTCTCTCCTTTACGTATTTGTTGTTGAAGTTTAGTAAGGCACACTCCTTACTGTTGTATCAGACACGCTTCTGATACAACCAAATTGTAGAAACACACTTCTCTCCTTTTCTGTTCTTGATATTGAGACATACTTCCCGATCGTTTGATACTAGTGAGTGTAGATTGACATAGGAACGCACACTATCTCGCCACGTAGACCACGTTTAGTTATACTAGTTAGTTTACTAAGTCCAGTTTACAACAAGATGGTCAGATGGTTCTCAAAGTGAACAAAAGACCTGCTAGAAACATTTTACGAAATAAAAACGTGTGGATTCAATAATAATGTGCGAAAAGAGTGTGTCATTTTTGAGTCGTATATTGAAAATATGTATGTATGAATATTACCTTGCCACGTAATATGTATTATCGACTTCATCACGCATGGCAACCTCTCTTCGGAGAGGTTTTGATTCGTAAGCAATAATATATTCGTACTACCCAGCACCATGAGTCCTGACGTTAACATTTCTCTAAGAAAGATAAGGTGTGTTTTCTCGATTATAATATTGCCCAGTCTTAAATGTTGACCTTAATGCTGCTTTTGTAGATTTTCTGCAAACTCATGTTTCATTATGCTAGGGGTCTGTCAGAAATTAAAAAAGATCATCATAATATCACGAACATTGGACTCGTGGCTGGGTGGTGGTCGTATCTAGGCATCTAGTGAACTAATGTCACCATGAAGATAATATTGGTTAAGGATCAGAACACAAAGAATATTATTAATTAATCGCATTTAATAAGCTGGTACGTGTTTCTGCAAGTCCACACCCGTACCCCCTTACTCTACTATACATTATACATTAGGGGCAAGGAGCTGACACCATGAGACACCCCATGTTTACTTCTGTACAATTAGAATTAGAATTAGTCATCGTCATCGCCATAGTAATCGTCATCGTCATCGCCATCGCCATCGCCATCGTAATAATCGTAATCGTAATCGGCATCGTCATCGCCATCGTCATCGTCATCGTCATCGTCATTGTCATCGTCATCGTCATCGTCATTGTCATCGTCATCGTCATACAACTTTGTTTATACTAATGTGCGATATAGGTATATTTTAGTTTACATAAATATATATATTATTATTTAACAATAGAATTAGATAGAAGGAGTTGAAATTTAGAATAACTTTGATATATTTTATAATCAAGTTCTTGTAGTACTTTTATAATTGCACCGTAGTATACAGATATAGATGGTTAACATTTTGTTTGTTGTAAATTATCACTAGTCACCTTCACCTAACATTTTTCCGTTTAGATTCTACAATTTCAGCACCTAAAATCATAGACGCTCCCACTTCCAAGCATTTAGTTTCATTCCTGTCATTAACTACCTTACTCGGGAATATTATAGCGGGTTAATTTATGACTGGGAAAATTATTGACCGGGAAAAATATGGCGGAATTTCCCAAAACCCGCCAAATTATCCCGGTCATGTATTTACCGGTGGCCGACCTTTCAAGTTTTTTTTCAGAGGTCAACAAATTTTCAACCGAAATTTCTGTTTTTGTTACTTGTTAAAGAAGTTATTTCAATTTTACAGTTATTGATATTACTCAGAAATAGAAAAAAAAGACACGTCTATTTAAAGGAAAATAAATAATAAGTCAAATAAATAATAAGTCAAATCTTCATGAAAGCGTATTCTAATTCTCATTATCGCTAATGTCCCCGCCAATATCATTATTGATATCCTCCTGAGCTGCTGACCGTCAAATTCGAAGTTGTATTGTTGTCTTAACAAGACTTTCATTTTGTCCGCTAATGGGGCTACTGCTCTGAAGGTCAGCCGGAGCTTAATTTCCTGCCCACCGCTTGGTATTGGGGAACGTCTTGGCTTTGCATCTTCTACTGCTCCAGTAATCAATCCACCGTGGACCATGAAATAGTGGCACAGTTTACTCACTTCTAGCGGGATGTGGCCACAAGTTACTTTAACGGGAAAAACTCCCTCTTTCTTTAGTCTACACACTGCACACGAGAAGCGATCAATCTTTAGAGACATTATTATTATAATATATATTATATATTATTATTATTTTCGTTTTCTTCTATAACATATAAATTGTTTTCTTCTCTACGATTCACTGATTCATGGGCAAGAGAAGTGAGAATCACGGTCCACCCTGAAATCTGATTTTTATAACCAAATTGTGATTCTTATAACGAAATTATGGTAGCAACCGCCAATAAAGTTACAGCCCTCCATCCACTGGTTCAAAAGTCTTCTCTAGCACATATGAGACTTCAGGTAAAATATGATGATCACCACCCCCTTGGAACCCCATAATCTGAGTCGGCGGGATTTTTTATGACTGGTAAAATTTTTGACCGGGAAAAATATGGCGAAATCTTCCAAAACCCACCACTTTATCCCGGTTATAATATTCCCGAGTAAGGTACCTTAGACGGAATTCAAGTCCACCAATAGTTTCACTCACAAACCTAGTCCACCAATAGTGTTTTACAAACAAGTCATGTGTCCAATCTCATCCTAACACCTTCACACTAAGTCCACTCCTGTAGAAATAATTTGTCATCGTCCTTAAAAACACACCTATCACATGAGTTTAATGTAGATTGTAGGACAGTTCAGAGTTCTGATAATTCTAAAACAGTGCTGTTGATTCTAAAACAGTATTTTTAATTCTAAAAGAGTATTGTTGATTCTAAAAGAGTTCTGTGGATTACCTATTATTGATTGTACCGAATAGTTATACAAGTTACTTTTAAATTTCTTTTCCACAAAGCTAAAATTTTAAGTCTTTTATTTTGTACCCTACCACTAAGACGAACAGCTAGGCACTAAGCCAAGTGCTACATCGTCATACAACTTTGTTTATACTACCTATTGAGCAAAACCAGGTGTGTTTTCTCGATTAGAAAATTTCTCAATCTTAAATGTTGACCCTAATGCTGCTTTTCTAGATTTTCTGCAAACTCATATTATTTAAAGGGACATTCGTCTGTCAGAAATTTAAAAGAGCATCATAATATCAGATGGTGTTCGTATATGGGGTCCTAGTGAACTGATGTCATCATTAAGATGATATCGCTTTCGTCTTCAGTTAATAAGTAGTACGCTCTTCGTCTCCTACTTTGATGATTTCACCAAAGATGATATTAATTTGACCACAAAGGAGTGATATTGTCGATAGCGAACAAATTCGTCCGTTTCATAAGAAAGTAATTACTGTTATGAGCCTCAGCTACAAGACCACGCCCTCTTAAATACAGCTCCTGTTATTTAGGGTTCTTAGTTGTACTTGATTCTTGAACAGGGGTCTCCTTATAATACGATTATCTATTTTGTCTGAATTTAGAATCTTCTATTCAATTTTGAGACCTCGTTGCTCAGGATTATGCATGGATAATGGCACCAGATGATGCATGCACGACGTAAGCCAGTAAAACTAACCACTTTTATCGTTGTCTGATGTTAACCCGGATAGTGCCGGTGGTTGTAATGACAATTAACAAAAATGAGTTGAAGAAAGAGCTCTATACTCCAGATAACACCGCCATTAATAGATGGTTCATATCAAACTTATTCTTTAATTATCGCCACGAACCACAGCTGCAAGTGAACGCCCCTAAGTTTGACTCGTTTTGGTCTCCATTAAAACCATGTGTCATAATATCATTGTTCTGTCTAGGTTCAGGCTCTACTATTTATATTGGAGACCTTCCTGTTCAGCCGTAATGGTGTTCACGATGTAGAACTCTCCGCGCCCTCTATATTCTGCTCGGTCTGCTTATTCGGCGGGGAAATTGTTAGTCCTACATCGATCATATTAATAATGGTTGTATACTGTATAGTCATTGTGATAGAGCAATTAGTTACAGTTTCCCCTCTACTAGATGATGATACGTCTTATGTCGCGTCTTATATTTGTGAGACTGTTTGACCACATCAAATCAGTGTAACAGAGGCGGCATCTTTCAAATCCCACTTCGTTTGTTAGTACCATCTATCATATCTTCCATATTCCCCGTATACTTGTTTTTGCACTCGAACTCGATTGTAGGACTGAATCCCTACCGGACGGAATCACTACCACCCAAATATCACTACTGGTAGTGATTTAGTCCGGTAGTGATTCACCTCAATCCCTACCAATAGTGATTGGTAGTGATTCAGTCCGTTAGGGATTCAGTCATGTAGTGATTCGGTCCGTTCACCCTCGAACTCAGCCACGGCACATTTACCACGTACCATGAAAGATTACACAATCATCTTTTATCAATTCACTGAAACCTTTACCTCGAATGTTACTAATATTTTGCTACCCACGCCACCAAATACCGCCAGTCGCCACGCCGGTGCTATTAATCCACAGCCGCGGCCGTGTATCTCTTCAAATGTACGTGAAATTTCCATAGCCTGGGTTGAAACCCCTTCACAAAATTGGGCCTGTGTTATTCAAGCATTTAAAGTCGAGACATGACGAAGAGACGGAATTGTTGTGAGGTTGCTGATTGATCCTAGTGCCGTACATGAGCATTGAGCATCATGAATCCTGGATTTTGGATTAGCACGTGTATTGAATATTGATGCCTCATGGTGGGCGTTACAATTGGGTTCATTAGTCAGTGACTAATCAGACAGATTCACAAAATTGCCTTGAACAGACAGAATTGCTTTGTTCAGATTCACAAAATTACAATAGGTAAACATGTGGCTAATTGCAAATTAGGAGGACCAAATTCAAATCAACAGGTTGACGTGATCGGCTCTGCGGTTACAAGGTTTAGGAAAGCGAAGCAACCATGACGTCATAGGACTCGACTAGGAGGAGATGAGAAATCACTCCCGTGCCCCGTGCTGCGCAAACATCTTCATGGTTTAATTTCTATTGCTAAGGTCTGTTACTGTTAGGATTTGTTTACAATTAAGTGGGATTAGTCTACTTTTGCAGCCCAGACAATTCTGATTACGATGAAATTTAACTCTAACTATAAAAGTCGCCAATTTTATTACTGCAAGTAAGTTCCTTACTCCACTATAAATTGTATATTAGGGGTAAAGATGGGTAAGCGGAGACGCTCCATATTTGCTTCTTTACAATTGAATAAGTCAACATCATACAGCTTTGTTTATACTTTTTATTGAATTACACTTTATAATTAATTCATTTGTCTTTTTGTGTAATTTGTTTAACGACAATCAGTAGGCATTAATTGTTGGGCATTTTGAAATTGTTGAACTTAGGGTTACTCAGTGACTCTAGATAAAACAGAATTACCATTATCTTCTGAGCTGGGGGGCATCAACCTCATAAACATACATAAATACCTACACCTATTCTGAGATCAGAGGGAGTACTAGGTATTTATGAGGTTGATGCCCCCCCCCCCCCCTCATCTTGTTGCTATTTTAATTACTCTGAATCTTGCCTTTTTTTAAACGGATAATGATCGGTTCTTTGTCGTGGTTCGTTTGATTATCATCGGTAGCCATATCGTACTTTGGTCTGTTCGGCCATTATTTAAATGTTTTTACAAAATTGCTGTACGTAGACGTCTTTTACCTCTTTAAATTTCTTGGAATATTGTTTTTCTATCTGTGCTTTAGTAGGGTCTATTTCTGCATGATATAATTTAAACTTTTAACTAATAATTTGTTGTTTGAAGGACAATGTAAACGTGGCTAGCCAGTTCAAACCCTAAAAATCATGAGATTCTAGCAAAACTCCATCACTTTATGAATACGACAGAACATCCTCCAACTACACCAGATCTTGGTCTTCTACAACTAACTGAATACAAAATATACGATGGCTTGGTAGCAACAGGATTCCTGCTATGTTTGGTGATAGGACTTCCGGGCAATTGTCTAGCTTTGAGGTACTTTCTTCAGACAGGGAAACGAAATATCTCGACCCTTCTCTACATGATTGCCTGCTGTATAGACATAGTCTCCAGTTTGATTCATCTTCCAGTCACTGTCAATTGGTTGAACAGCAGACATCCTGGACCTCTAACTAACAGAGTTTTCTGTTTGATGTGGTATTTCTGCATCCTCTTGCTTCAGCTCGTGTCCATCTTTTTGGTAATGGTAGTCTCCCTGACCAGAACCATCGTCATTATCTTTCCATTTTACAAGATCAAAAAACAGCCCGTCCTTATCTCGATCATGGTGATGTTTCTGTATCATTGTACATGGAACGTAATCGACATGGTTATCCATGATGATTACTATTCCTATGGTTTTGGATACTGCTCAGTTAACCCGCAGGGGATATTCAGTACTATGTACATGATCAACTACTGTATCTGCACTGGAATTCCTCCAATCATCGTTCTCCTTTCAGTGGTGGTTTCTACAGCAAGGCTGCACACTCATAATCTACCAGATGCTTCCCAAAGGAGAAATCGGCAAGCATCACTAACGATCATTTACTTTTCAGTGAATTTCCTCATCTGTAATTCCTTAACCTTTTTGAACAATGCCATTTACACTTTTACCATATATGGAAATGTTCTCTACAGTGTGATCTACAGCAACAAATTTATGTTCTTTTACAGCTGGATGATCAGCGAAATCTTCTGCACTGTTCTAAATGCAACTCTGAACCCACTCCTGTATCTGTGGAGGATGAAAGACATGAGAACATGGATAAAGAAACCCTTGGGCAGTTTCAGTACCATCAGCACTATTAGGAAGAGAACAGTATCAACAAGCACAGTGATATTTAATACGTTAACTCAGCGGCGATCTCGGACTGAGAGTTCGCTCTGAGAAGCTGAGACGTAAAACAATTCAATTACGAACTAAAAACTGCAACAGAAATACAAAACTATTAGCTGACGTATGAAATAACGTCCACCAAGTGAAAGAACTAATTTGTTGTTGCTGTTGTTTGCTCCTACTCGTAGCGGGACTAACGAATTTTTGGGATTCTAGTTAAGAAGAAGATCGCTACCCTCCAGACTCCAGAGGCTTTTGACTCATCCTCTTCGCGTTCGGAAACTGCCTAATAATGTATTTCATGAGCGATCCTTTTGATTTTTGACTCAAAAAAGTTTGGGCAAAGGTTTGGGTAACCGTTGTCAAGCCCCAGGTCCTCGTGCCCAGAGAAGCTATGTCTCCAGTGAAAGTTAAGGTAGGTTATTTAAGTTTAGGGTTAATTGGATTAGAGTTTGCAGGCTTCAGGGTTCAGCTTCTAAGATAAAGGTTAGGGTAATAGTCACGATATTATGCTGGAGCACAACGTTTTGGACCAAGCAAAAACTTGAGAACAACATCACTGGGGCAGGAGTTTGTGTCAGGTATGTAGGAAAATTCAAGATGATTCATCTACCCTCGTTTTTCTATCTTTCTGCATACCCAACAATTACTATCTAACAGCGAATTAAGAGACAAATGAAGCATTTTGTTTTATTATGTATCATTATGTATCACCATGCATTATTATACCCACATCCAGGAAATTAAAAATTTCCTCGCAGTACAATTTCCCCTTCCGATCCCCCCAGGTCTTCTAAAAACGTCCTCTTTGCCACCAAACAAATTTTTCTCGAAGATTACCTGCCGCCTTTCTGGATGTGGGTCACTATATTATCACTGCATTGTATCACTATGTATCACTATGTATCACTATGTATCACTATGTATCACTATATTATCACTATGTATCACTATGTATCACTATGTATCACTATGTATCACTATGTATCATTATATCACTATATATATGTATCATTATTCATCATTATGTATCATAACATTTGTTAGTTCAACAAGCGCAAAGCGCTACAACTTATGCGTAGTCATTAGTATAAGTATAACCGCTGATTTTGTCTTATTTGTAGTTTAGAAATGAAAATGTGAAACGACCAGAATCTTTTCAGCGTTGGACAAATTGTTGTATTTTTATTTGTATCCATTAAAGGCGTAGCCTAAACATGAAAAACTTACCTCAAAACATGCAGTCGTATCTCTTCATTCTCGATAATTACATCATAACACATAGGGAGATCATCGTTACCTATCTGTTTTCTTGCCGGATTCCTGGAACATGGGAAATTTATAAATATAATGTACAAAATTTGACATTCTGAAGATTGCACGACTGAGCTAACATGAAATTTGTACGGATAATAAATTCAATTCGAAATTTAGATGAATGACATCAAAAAAGCAGAAACTTAATCACAGTGCTGGCAAGCACGACGCGACCGGTGAATTTATTGTGGGTATACTATGTACCCCCTTTACTATTATACCCCCTTTACTATTATATCCCCTTTGGTACACGTTACAAGCCTCTTTCGTGCACGCGAAGCGTGCACTCCGGCCGCTCCGGCAGGAGTTTTTCAGGCATTAAGACTCATCGGAAGTTGTTCAGCAGATTTATTTTTAGTTCAAAACATTCTAATTTGATGTCAAAGATGACAGGAATAAAAAATAGTTATGTTGAGATTTTAAGAAATTTGCATAAAATACTCGCCACCACTGTTATACGAAATTCGGTAAAAAACCTAAAATCGCCATATTCAGGTGCCTTAAAAACCATGTTAAAATCAAGTCAGAGATCTGAAATTTTTCAGGGCGTCTAGACGTTGACCAAATCTACTGCAAAAAAAGTTTCAGGTTTCAGGAACATCGGGAAGTGGGTTTTCTAGAACCCCTGTTTTACGACAGATTGTCGTGATATCTATATATATATACATATTCAGGGATAGACGCTTTGCCAGTCAATTGTAGCCTGTATTCAGTTGTCCATAGATTCAAAAGTATAAAAGATACAGCCATTTCCGACCACAGGTCTTGCAAATAATTGTTTACACTTTAGTTTACATTGTATAAACAAATTATTTGACGTCATGAACAACCCTTGATGACGTCATCAAGTTAACCGTTTTTAAAACTTGATTTTTGACAAAGTAATAACTTTTAAAAATGATTTTACACCATTAAAAAGTAATTGCATTCAAAATCTGAGGAAATTTTCATCTTAGATAATTGTTCAAGCATTCTGAAAATCTACCGGAAAGTTTTTTTAGCTTGCTCCTTCATAAAGATATTCGCCATTGAAGTTTGTACTTTTTTGAAGAATTATTTTATAAAAACGTCAATTTTGCGATTTAGTATTCTCTGGTGTTGGGCCATGCCTTGGGTTGTGGAGCTCAGTTCTGCTTCCTATGGGTATAAATTGTGCATTAGGCTAGTTTTAAAGTTAAAAATCGAAAAGTTGCACACGTGGGGACACGCCCAAATTGATAGAAAATCGCTAAAATCACTGAAAATTGCTGTTTTCGTCATTTTCTGTCAACTTTAGAGTGCCGTTGTGACTACAGTTCTTCTTGGAATACTTTGAAACTTTGCATGCTTATTAAGCTATATATAAAACAATTACATGCAAAAATTTACGGCGATTCAATATTGGATGCGCACGCAACGTCCGCTCAAAGTTTTCACGTGCGAAAGGTGAGAATTTTGCTCATTCGTGATTTCCAACAAATTCTGCTTTGCCACGACAGTTTAATGTCATTATATATGAATTTAATGCCAACTTGAATGAGTATGAAGTGGCATATTCAGTCAGTGATCGACCGATATGCTTACCTAAACACAAGGAAATGTTTTTAAAGAACAAATTTCGAAATCGTTGAAACTTCCTCCTTATTAATGAAGATATCAGTTTATATTTCGACTTTATAAAGTACCCTGACATTATATTCAAAAAGAGATGATATTTTACCAAAACCCATAATCATGGGTAGAGTGGACCGCTGCCAGTGTCTCTCTTTCCCAAACAAAAGGAAATGATATTAATTTGATTGACCGTTCTCAAATGCAAAATGATACCGAGAATGAAATCGGTCGCTCGCTTTTCCCATTCATTTATAATTGTAATAGATTAAGAAGAACTACCCAAAGGCAGCTGTACTCGGCAATAAAGATTCAATAAACTTCAGCTAATTCAATAAGTAATAATTACCTCCCTTACCCCGAAATACTAGGTATCGACCCGAACGCAACCCAAAGAGATTTTTACAGCATCTGATTGAATTTGATGTAATCAATCGAAACTTATTACAATTCGTAAGCCGTGAATGAATGGGAAAAGCGAGCGACCGATTTCATTCTCGGTATCATTTTGCATTTGAGAACGGTCAATCAAATTAATATCATTTCCTTTTGTTTTGGAAAGAGAGACACTGGCAGCGGTCCACTCTACCCATGATTATGGGTTTTGGTAAAATGAGTTATATTTTCAATCGGAAAGAATACTACTTTAGTAATCTATAGTATGTTAAATTAAACTCTAGATCTAGAGGATAATACCGATAACTTAGAGTTATACTTATATTCACCTCAGAGATCCTACACCGACTCAGGTCGAGATGTTTAAGGTTCCCACACCGGTGTATGGGGGTGGGCCATTCCATGAGCGGGTTCCCCGACAGGTGTAGTGCCTCCAGTTTACCTAAATTAGGTAACTCACCTGTAATAGGATGTTAGTTGGGGGAGAATTAGTTGGAGGCGAATACCTTAGTTTATGGTATTTATCCGGTGCCGGGAAACAGGTTCGGCACGTGACAGTGATCCTGGTTCAGGACTGTTAATATACAGTTAACTCATCAAAATCTAATCAGCAGTATGCTCATAATTATAACACTTGAATATGTGAAAAATTGACTCATCAAAAACAGAGCAAACTATTAGAAATTTATAGAACGGATTAAACGGATTAAACGATTCAAAAGTCAAATTAGGTAATGTCTGAACCAATATAAAAAGTAAATATACTCAAAAGTCAAAAAGTATATATAATACAATCTAGAATGAGAATAAAATTGCAACCACTATAATAAACAAAGAAATAATCCCCGCAAATCTTCAGAATGAGATTTATTTTTCTAATAATTTAAATGAAATCTTATAAAACTAAAAGTGTTCTGATTCGTACATTAGGCAACATGTTATTGTTAGGAATTTTTAGGATGCTTTAGGGAATCTTTGTTCATGAGTTTTGATAAGGAACCTTCTTAGGTCTCCGATCGCGATGGTACTTTGTTGTACTTGTAGGGTGTGCGAAGATCTATCCATTATCAGAGAAGAGTTATGTTTTACTTTGTGAGGACAAACAGTGACGAAAATCTTCATGGAGAGGGTAAGTTCGCAATACATGAAGCTCATGTTCGATAATTGAATCAGGGAAAGGAAGCTCTAGAAGAAGGTCGAGTGACTCTACATCTGTAGTAGAACAGTGTTTGCATGCCCAATTCGAAAGATTATTGCGATGTCATCCTGTTTCGATGTTGCATTGAATATTGAAACACGCTTGTTCTGAGTTGTGCAAGTCTCCTAGTCTGCTGTGGCCGTAGGTTGATCGACAGGTATGTTTCGCAACCTAAGCTTGGCTTGATGAGGTTGTACAATCCCAATTTTCTGTTGAGTTTTCGCTTTTTGTTCCATTGTTAAACAAAAAGGGTTTTCATAACCTCGCTGATTTTAAGAGGCTTTGCTGGTGGAAATTCAAAGATGGCAAGTACGTACGGTACGTACCTTTAAATTAGCTGTACGGTACGTACTTAATAAAGTAGGCTGAAAGGTACAAATCCAGTTGATAGCAATGGACAAGCGTAGATTAAGGTTGCGACCTGAGCTAGCTGAAAAGCTGGTGTTCGTATACTGCAACAAAAGGATGAAGCTTTGAGTTTAACGATAATTACAAGTAGTAGTAGTGTAGTACCGGTTAATTTGTGTGTTTATTTTCGACTTCTAGTTCCGTCTCAAAAATTATGATGATAATACTAATCAAAAATTGCAAGTAATTCACTGAAGTTGATTCTAAAAATTTGAAAAAAAATTGTACCTTACAGTGCCTGTACCGTACGTACCTTTAAAAGTAGCTGTACCGTACGTACTTAAAGCCCTGTACCGTACGTACTTGCCATCTAAGGGTGGAATCCAGCCGGGAGAACCATAACAGTTTCAGATCCCTCTGCTCGGCGTAAGCGTCACTAAGGAAGAGCATCCCTCTTTGTCCAGTCCCTCCAACCTCTTGAGGTAGTTATAGACTTGGGACGAAAGCTCGATAGCAAGCGGATATATTCCATTGTCACCAGTCACCCCAAACAGCGGTGTTCGAAGTCAAAATGTTGACAATTGACATTCATGGTCCATTTCATGAATGATATAGGTAAACTTTCTCCAGGGGGTCTTTTGCTGTATCTTGTGTAGCCGGATGACTCCCTGATGCCAAGATAAAGGTGTCAAAAAGCTTAAATATAGTTGTCTTCCGGAGGTATCAAAGGTCAAGCATACTCATGAGAGAGAAGTAGCTCCGGAGTCCTTTTTGTCTAAGTTTCATCTGCGCAAATTTAATGATCCCGTGAGTGCGAACGGTATTCCAAGATATTATGTGTACTCACGCACTGATGGCAAGGTCATTTCTGCGTAGACAAAATGTGTACTGTCCTTGAGCACCCGTCCTGCCCGGTTGAACAACATAATTGCAGTGTTTGATATGTTACCTGATAATAGAATAGCTCACTGAAATTTAACTTTGTAAACACATTTCCTTCTTATTAAACTATTTTTAATTCTTAGATAATTGGCGCATGTCCTAGTTAGTATAGTAACACCTGTTCCTTCATGTGCCGTATAGTAAATAAACGGTAATAGATATTTTAGTCTCTCGAGTCTCGACACCACTTTAGGGTAGACGGGTTCCTACTAGTTTTACTAATGATCATATTGGTAATTTGAATTTATAGGTAATATAATATAGAAATATAGAATATTAATACTTTCAACACTACTATATATAACAAATAATTTAAGGATGACTGTAAAGGTACATTTTACCGACATTTGAAGTCAAGGCGTTCTTTTACTGACAATTGTGGCTGTCTTACAATATAAATATATATAAACAATATAAATATATGTGCCGTATATAAACGGTTGAATCTTTATTATATGGCATGTGGTCTCAGATGGCATGTGCTCTAAATGTGCTAACGACACATGAAATAAAGATTGTGAAGTGAAGAATGTTGTATATAAGATTAGGGGGGGGGGGGGGGGGGGGGGGGGGGGGGGGGGGGGGGGGGGACCAATGGGTATTTTTTTGTGAAACTTGATTTCGAGATAGCATTTGACCAACAAACTAGGACCAGTAACCGAACGTTTGAGGGGGTCCCGGACCCCAACCGCCAAACGGTGCGCGCAGGGCAGTCACGCCCATATTTGGTCCAAATTAGGCCCAATTTAGCCAAATACCCTGAACTTGCCCAAAACCCAGGTTTATGGTGCTCTACTTGTAGCTAGTTGTCTTCTGAACTCGTATATGAAATTTCATCAAGATTAGACAAAAAATGACTGAGCTATGAGCCAAAAACCATATGCCCATATTTGGGCATACGCACCAAATTTGGTAGATTTCGTCCCATAAATTGGTCAAATATCAATATTTTTGAATGAAACTTACTTTGTATGAAAGGTTAGCCTAAACTACATATTCTCTGTAAGTTATAGCTTTATATCTGTTTAAATGTGGATACTAAGGCGAAAAAACCACAAAAAATGAACGGCCAAATTCTGAATTTCTGTAATATAATTTTGGAATTTGGCCGCCAGATTTTTTTGAGGCCTAAATCAAAATTCCGTTCTTAGAATAAGGTCGAAATGCGATTTCGAGTCGATTCCAAAAATTTCATGCAAAAATTTTGAAAACTGATTGAGTTGTTATAATTTTAATGAGATCAATTCCGCGAATATCGTGAACCGAGATATGGGCAATTTAGTTCATTTTTTGTGGTTTTTTCGCCTTAGTATCCACATTTAAACAGATATAAAGCTATAACTTACAGAGAATATGTAGTTTAGGCTAATCTTTCATATAAAGTAAGTTTCATTCAAAAATATTTGACCAATTTATGGGACGAAATCTACCAAATTTGGTGCGTATGCCCAAATATGGGCATATGGTTTTTGGCTCATAGCTCAGTCATTTTTTGTCTAATCTTGATGAAATTTCATATACGAGTTCAGAAGACAACTAGCTACAAGTAGAGCACCATAAATATGGGTTTTGGGTATGTTCAGGGTATTTGGATAAATTGGGCCTAATTTGGACCAAATATGGGCGTGGCTGCCCTGCACGCACCGTTTGGCGGTTGGGGTCCAGGACCCCCTCAAAAGTTCGGTCAATGGTCCAAGTTTGTTGGTCAACTGCTATCTCGAAATCAAGTTTCACAAAAAATACCCATTGGCCCCCCCCCCCCCCCCCCCCCCCCCTTAAGTGTAAATTATGTGACCAGCTGTTCGTTGGAGAAACCAGTAGGAAAGTACATGCTCGTGTACGGTGTAGGTGAACACTTACGTTACGCTACCTACCCTGCTACCCCGTCTAATGTTAGTCAAGCTTTTGCCATACATTATTCGAGCTGTCATGAGGGGTTAAATCCCAGTTTAGAAGTAGATGTTTTAAGAATTGAGCCCAATACTGTCAGAAGAAAGATTTTCGAAGCGATGTTTATTATTAATCTAAACCCTACAATTAACAAGAGAGAAGAACTGGATACTATTAAACGTTTTATCATAGCTAGTACTGAAGAATTTTAGATATTTTAGTTTCATTCCCTTTTTAATGCATACAGTTTCAGTTTTCTAGTAGTAGTAAGTTTTAATGTTTTTTTCACATCTCGCTCACAATCAGTAACCACTCACTATATTTTCACTCACATTGTGTGTACACCATCTCACATGTATTATATCTTTTACCTTATCATCTGTTATCACTGTACATGTCATTCCATCACACGATCAAAATCACGTACTTGCTGTTTAGTTGATGTTTTAAGTTTATTGAATAGCAAATCGAGTATTGGTGTATAAATAGATTTTGATTCTAATTTTAGTCTAGTATTTGAACAATTTGTTGTCGTTTAGCCATTTTTGACTAATAAATTTTATGAGACAGTTTTCTCAAATATTTACCAATTTTGTCAGCTTGAATAAGAAGTTGTTACTTTGAAACGTCGTTTATCCTAACAGTGCAGTACCTATCATTTGTCGCAAGAAATCAGAATAATCAGAAACTATTTGGAACTCCCAAAAACTGTCTATACATGTTACAGACCATCCACTTGTAGTACTCCTCACTAATCTCTCCATAACACTGTAACGTACACTTTTCTTCGTTTTACAGCTCCACTCAGTAGTTGCTTCTGTCTAGATACAGCAGTAGATTTAGGCAGGACCGGGGTTACAAGCTGGGTGGTGATGAATCATATCGGTAATTTGAATGTATAGGTTATATAATATAGAAATAAAGAACATAGAAATATATATGGACACGTTCATTTGAGTTTGAGGATATTGGTAAATAAAAATAATAGCGTTTTCGACGATAGTGGCTTAATTTTGACATCTATTAACCTAGCACGTTCTGAAGTTCTGAACATTAGCCACGTAACCCATACTCCCATATACACTGCTCAGAAAGAAAATCTATTGTTGTTAGGCACTATAATGGTTCAAATGTCACATTTTGTGTGACTTAGTTAACTGCAGTTGTCTAATTATCATTCCTTGGTCTGAAATATAGTAAATTAGGTCAATCTAACAATTATGATACAACATTGGTTAAAAGGCACGGATCGAACGGTTACAAAGCAATATTTGGGCAACTTTGTCACACTCAGAATACCATACCTCTATTCTACTGTCAGGTGTCCTCAAAAACCTTTTAACTCATTATTTGATGGTTGATCTACACATCATAGCCCTAAAATATGTTGTTTTGAATAGTTAGCTAATACAGGCACTTGGTTATTGGGAAATGAGGTTAATTCTGTCACAATATATGGAATTTTAAATTTTGGGCGAAATATTTATATCTGATTTTGGTTTGAAAGGCGGGAAAATTTCACATGATGACAATGTAGTTGATGCAAGTTAAGATCAGTTGATGTTTACATTGTCACAAAAAATAATACGAAATCGTAAATAGGTTAAAAACAATGATTATAGAATGAAATAGTCTCTTATAATAACTGATGCGACAAAGTAAACATGTCTTGCCCCTATTTTGAAGATCTATATATTCGATGACCATCAGAGCTCAAGTTTAACAATTTTAGGTTAAATTTGTCAAAGTCACTAAAAATGTGACAAAATTAACTTTTCCTGCCCCAACAATTTCAAGATAGTGTGTAAAAATTAGCATAGGCTGCTTTATTACCTATATAAATCAATCCAAACTACAAAAGAATATTCTATGTTAATGTGATGACGATTACCTAACTCTAATAATAACTGACGTGACAAAGTAAACATGTCTTGCCCCTATTTTGAAGATCTATAACTCTATTAGAATTCAACATTCTTTCAGAAACGAATGGTAGAATATTGTCCAGAACATCAAAGCTCAAGTTTAACAATTTTAGATTAATTTGCCAAAGACACTGAAAATGTGACAAAATTAACTTTCCCTGCCCCAACAATATCTTAATTGCCTATATAAATCGATCCAAACTAAGAAAAATATCTGTTAATCTGATGACGATTACCTAACTCTTATAATAACTGATATGACAAAGTAAACATGTCTTGCCTCTATTTTGAAGATCTATTTAACTCTATTAGAATTCAACATTTTTTTCAGAAACGATCGGTACTAGAATATTGTCCAGAACATCAGAGCTCAAGTTTAACAATTTTAGATTCATTTGTCAAAGACACTGAAAATGTGAAAAAATTAACTTTCCCTGCCCCAACAATATCAAGATAGTGTGTTAAAATTGGCATAGGATGCTTTATTGCCTATATTAATCGATCCAAACTACGAAAAAGATCTGTTAATCTGATGACGATTACCTAACTCTTATAATAACTGATGTGACAAAGTAAACATGTCTTGCCCCTATTTAGAAGAACTATTTAGAAGAAATATACCTCTATTAGAATACTATGTAACTTCAATAAACTAGTTATTTTGCCAGCAAGGAGCTAACAGAGTTATAATCATTTTTTGTGACGAAATTACCCTATTTTTGACCATGTTGCGGTAGTTTAATTTTGACACTGTTAACATATTACCACCCGACAATGATTTATGTTACTGGTGCATGGTACTAGCAGTGTTGTTTGATCCATAGTACGTAATATAAGGGGTTTAAGCTGGTATATCATTATTTGTTTAATTTTACACATGTTCAAGATTATGTGACAAAGTAAACTTGTTTGTGCCTTCTGTGTTTTAATTCCTTAAGACTATATGATATAATAACAATTCCTAGCACTTCCAGGCCATCAAATAAACCTACACTACTCAGCATTGCTTATCAGGGTGCCCTAAACATTCTTCACATATTTTCTTAAATGTGTGACAGAGTAAACCTGAGTGCACCATCTAACGAAAAAAGTCGTCAAATATGTAGGTAATGGTCATATGTACCCATCCAATCAACTGGACACTCAAAAATTTGGTCAAAAACGGCAGCAAGGGGTCCATATTTACTCCGTCACATGTTTATAGTGTGACAATGTAACCATTTCCGTGCCGGCCGTATTTAAGCGATATCTTATCACCTGATTAAGATATCGTTATGTGACAAAGTTAGCCTAGAGGATGAGACGATTATCCTAACCGTCAAGGGTATGTGTAATTTCATAGTGTGACAAAGTCAACTACACTGTGCCTTTCAATAGGGTCACTCATATTTACCAATATCCTCAAACTCAAATGAACGTGTCCATATACATACAGAATATAGAATAGATCCTACACTGACTCAGGTCGAGATGTTTAAGGTTCCCACACCGGTGTATGGGGGTGGGCCATTCCATGAGCGGGTTCCCCGACAGGTGTAGTGCCTCTAGTTTACCTAGATTACCTATAGTTTTAGGTAACTCACCTGTAATAGGATGTTAGTTGGGGGAGTTAGTTGGAGGAGAATACCTTAGTTTATGTATTGGTCCGGTGCCGGGAGACAAGTTCGGCACGTGACAGTGATCCTGGTTCACTTTCACGTGTATGCTCATAATATATATTTCACTAGAATATGTGAAAAATTAAATATAGAAATAATCACGACAAGGAATTTGCGGTTTTTCTACTGGTACCATTTTTTTCGTACTTTGGTCTTCTCGGCCATTAATTAAACGTGTTTTAACGCTGTTTAAATTCCTTGGAATATCGTTTCGCCATCAGAGCTTTAACAGGGTCTATTTTGTATGATATAATTTTCACTTTTAACTTACAATTTTTTGTTTGAAGGAATATGTAAACGTGGATAAACCCTAAACGTAATGAGACTCTAGCAAAACTCCTTCACTTTATTATGAATACGACAGAACATCCTTCAACTACGCCAGATCGTGGTCTTTTACAACTAACTGAATGCAGAATATACGATGGCTTGGTAGCTGCAGGATTACTGGTATGTTTGATGATAGGACTTCCGGGCAATTGTCTAGCTTTGAGGTACTTTCTTCAGACAGGGAAACGAAATCTATCAACCCTTCTCTACATGATTGCCTGCTGTATAGATATAGTCTTCAGTTTGATTCATCTACCAGTCACTGTCAATTGGTTGAACAATAGACACCCTGGCTTATTCGGCAACAGACCTTTCTGCAAAATATGGTATTTCTGCATCCTCTTGCTTCAAGTTATTTCCATCTTCTTGGTGATGGTAGTCTCCCTGACCAGAACTATCGTCATTATCTTTCCATTTTACAAGATAAAGAAACAGCATGTCCTTATCTCGATCATGGTGATGTTCTTGTATCATTGTACATGGAACGTAATCGACGTGGTTATCCATGATGATTACTATTCCTATGGTTTAGGATACTGCACAGTTAACGCGCAGGGAATATTCCTTACCATGTACATGATCAACTACTGTATCTGCACTGGAATCCCTCCTGTCATCGTTCTCCTTTCAGTGGTGGTTTCTACGGCAAGGCTGCAGACTCATAATTTACCAGATGCTTCCCAAAGGAGAAACCGGCAAGCATCACTAACGATCATTTACTTTTCAGTGAATTTCCTCATCTGTAATTCCTTAACCTTTTTGAACAATGCCATTTGGACAATATATGGAGATGAGATATACAACAAAAAATTCATGTTCTTTTACAGCTGGATGATCAGCGAAATCTTCTGCACTGTTCTAAATGCAACTCTGAACCCACTCCTGTATCTGTGGAGGATGAAACAGATGAGAGAATGGGTGATGAGACCTGTCCAGAACATTTTCAGGTCTGTTTCAACGACAATAGTGATAGCTAATCCGACGAATCGGTCTCAAGGTGAGACTACATTTTGAATACCAGAGGGGGAAACACATGAACGCAATCTTTTGAACTAAAAACAGCATCTGGAAGTAAATCTATCACAACCTGTGACATCATACCTTTCTTGAGAGGCGAAGCAGCAAAGGGCGCAACCAGGCTGCAAGCTTATGGCAGCCTCACGCTTGAAACTATCGCATATAAAAAAGGAACTATCAAAAATCATACCACCATCAATAGATCTCAATATATCAGATCTCAATGTACCACCCAGAGCAACGAGAGACCTAACAACTTACAACACCAACCATGATGCTAGGACGGCACAACTCCTGGAGCTGATAATACTGGATATAGAAATTCACTTCAAAACACCATCGACAATATTACCAGTGAAACGATCACCTGCTACACAGACGGGTCACTCACATATTCAGGAAGCGGGGCTGGCTATATCATCACAGCTGACAACAATAACACCACCCTAGAAGAAAGATCATTCAAGCTCCCTGATTATTGCACTGCTTATCAAACAGAGCTCATCGCTATCATCGAAGCTTGCAAATATCTCTCTACCTATACCAACACACATATCATCATATGGTCTGACAGTCTCTCATCTATACAAATCTCTTCGCTTTCAACGCGGAGTAGAACTACAAGAGACTGTTACGACTCTCTTAATGCACTCGGATCCACCCACACGCTAGAGATACGATGGATTGTGGGAGAACGAAAAATCAGATGAGCTGGCCAAGCTTGGTACAATCAGTGAATCCACTTTGAAGTGTCCAATTCCACAATCTTACATCAAACGTCTAATCGACAACAAAGTCACCAGACTAAATCATGAAACTTGGTTAACTGATGGTCCCAGACACACCAAACTAACACTCGGCCACAAGCACGCCAACATCATCAAAAACCTCAATACTACACTCAGCAACAACAGACAAAATTACAGAACTGCAGTTCAACTCATCATGGGTCACTGCGGCTTAAACAAACAACTTTACACCATTTGCAAATCAAGCACCAGTGCTTGTCCTATGTGCGGCGACGAAGAGGAAACTGTCTCACACTTCCTTGGACAGTGTCTGAGTGTCCAGCTATTGCCCAAATAAGAGGTCAATATTTCAGGGACTACTACCTATCCGTCAATGACATATTCGACAACCAACACATCATCACGATAGTGAATTTCGCAAACCGCACCAAACGCCTAATTGTACCGGAAGAGTTGGATCAGACCGGGGTGACAGTAAACTCACATGATTTCTCGTCTCATTTTACTTTTCCAAACCTAGATGGCACTTAAGCGTATCATTTTGACTCATGTCACTTTTAACACCACCCTTCACCATTCACTCTGATTTCTCCGGCAACCTTCCCCAGGGTTGCCACACCCCAGATGTAGGAAGAGCATCTCATTACTATCCTCTCGTGGGCTATCATGGCCCAGTCTCTCTTTAAAAAAACCCCTAGGCAGTTTCAGAACTATCAGCACTATTAGGAAGAGAACAGTATCAATAAGCACAGTGATATTTAATACGTTAACTCAGCGGCGATCTCGGACTGAGAGTTCGCTCTGAGAACGTCAACCGAGTGAAAGAACTAATTTTTTATTCGGCGACTGCCAATAACGTATTTCATGGGCGATCCTTCTGATTTTTGGCTAGAAAAAGTCTGAGCGAAGGTTTGGGTAACCGTTTTAAATTCAAGATGATTCATCAACCCTCGTTTTTCTTACTTTCTGCATACCCAAAAACTATCTAACAGCGAATTTAGAGACAAATTAAGTGTTGTGTTTTATTATGTATCATTATGTATCAACTATCACCATGTATTATTTTACCCACGTCCAGGAAATTTTAAATTTCCTCGCAGAACAATTTCCCCTTCCGATCCCTCCTTCCCCCCCCCCCCCCCCCCCAGGTCTTCTAAAAATATCCTCTTTGCCACCAAATTTCCACCAAAATCCAAATTTTTCTCGCATATTACCTGCCGATCTACCGCCTTTCTGGATGTGGGTATAATATCAGTATGTATCACTGTTATCACTATATGTATCATTATTCATCATTATCTATCATAACATATTTGCTAGCAACAAGCGCTACAACTAATACGTAGGCATTAGTATAACCGCTGATTTTGTCTTATTCGTAGTTTAGAAATGAAAATGTGAAACGACCAGAATCTTTTCAGCGTTGGACAAATTTTTGGATTTTAAGAAAAACTTACCTCCAAACATGTATCTCTTCATTCTCGATCATTATATCATAATATACGTATATATATGTATAAGGAGATCATCGTTACCTATCTGTTTTCTTGCCGGATTCCTGGAACATGGGAAACCTATAAATATGTACAAAATTTTACATTCTGAAGATTGCGCGACTGAGCTAACATGAAATTTGTACGGATAATAAATTCACTTCGAAATTTAGATGAATGACACCAAAAAAGCAGAAACTTGATTAGTTACATTTCCAATCGGAAGAAGGAACATAACAGAGAAGTGAGATCCATCTCCAAAGCCTGTCATACCAGATTCTCTCAGCATCAGAAGTTGTTTCATCAGCTAATTGAGGGATAAAATCAATATTCGAATTTTCGATTTGTGGCATCCCCGTCTACGGCGTAACAATAGTTTCAATAACTAAATTTCAATAATTTTTGACATGTTGAATCTAATAATAAAGCCTCTGTAAATATAAAAAAAGTGTCCTGCACTGCAATCTGCAACAATAACATAAAAATCTTAAAGCATCTGATTTTAAGATAACAAAACGTAAGATATTACAAGGAGCCATTCAGAATTTCTGTTCTATAATTTAAAGCTCACTTCAATTAAAATTGAATCAAATCTGGTCACTGACATAAATCAAAATTGAAAAAATTTGCTATTACATAGAAAAGCTTTTAATTTGAACATTGAAATGGAACATTAATTACATTGATAAAGATTGAAAAACTTTCAACACACACAAACAATACACACAGTATATATATATATATAAAATGTAGTACAAAAGCTTCAGGAAATGAACAAACCACTGGAGGAATTTGCAGACGCATGAGATGTTCACTACGATTAAATGATAATCATGAACTATTTCTGAGTTCAACATCTTCATATGAAAATATTAATTCTGACGAAATACTCCTGCACCTCTACAGTCTACACGTTCACAAATGTGACCTTACTGGCTTGCTACATCCAGATTAACCACTGTGAACACATCACCTCCTGGAGAAGTTGGGTGTAACGGCGTGCGTAGCCTTATCTTGGAGCGGGTGTTCCAAAACTAACCAACAACCTTACTCCTTGACAACAGCCACCTTGCTGCCACCAGAACTACCACTACCACCAGGAGTAGGGGTGGTAGTAACCACCCTGGCTTCAAGTTTAGCAAGTCTAGCTGCCTGCTGGCGCTCACTCTCCAGGATCTTGTCTCGAGCTGCTTTTAGTTGCAGCGACTTGGTGGAAAGTTTAGATGTTCTCCGCTGGATGTTGGTCATCTCTTTCTTTATCTGTGGAGTTGTTCATGTCAAAATGTTGTATCTAAAAACCGCAATATCGAGTGTTCATTCGGAAAAAATGAATATTGTTATAATTTGATTTGATATATTCCTTCAATGATTGATAATAGCCAGTCCTACCAGAAAGAATTATTTCAATCGGGCACTCAGTGACGGAGAAATAGGCCCCAAACGTATAAGTACTTACTTTTTATGGCAGCTTACAGATAACTAATAGGAGGTAGAGTTTGTTTGATCAGATGACACTCACGTATTTTAATTATACGAGTTTAAGCTATTTAAGGCATGATTGACGTGTGCGATCTGAGCAATGAGACCGCCCATTAATTATGCTAATATTGTTTAACCAATAATTGAAACAATTATGCCGTTTTGGTGACCAGCAAGCGTACCTGTAAAACTTTTTGTCTGTACTGCGGAACTTTAATCATTATCTGCTGAACCTCGCTGAGAGCCGCTTTAGCTGCCTCTACTCGGGCTGCTTCTTCTTCTAGAACCTTCTCCAGCTGTCCCTACAAGATACAGGCTGTAAGTAACGAAATAGCCCGAGATCCGGAAGCAATGAGCAAGAATCTTTTGATTGCTGGTAGAAACTAGAAACGATCCAATAATTACAAGCAAGTTCCACAACTAACCTGACTCTCAAGAACCTCCTGTGTTTTAGCCAGGATTGCCTCCTCAGTGGGCTTTATCATGAGCTGTACTCCTGATGTCATGTGGGACACGAACTTCTCCTTCTCCTGGAAAGTGATAGTTTTGTAGTGGAAACTTGAGATAAGAGTAAGAAAGAAGTGGCAACCAAAACTGATAGTCGTAATGTGTTTTAATGTTCTTGTCTGTTGTCATAAACACGATAAAGCACGAGAACTAATAGTACATATTGTTATATATTATATGTATGTAGTACTAGTAGTACGACTTTAAGATCATAGTAATTAGATGTACTAATATACTAATTATGGATGGAAAAAGTTCCGTGAAGCCAACATATTAAACGACCAGAAAGAAAACGCAATTGTTTCACCGAGCACAGCCCACATACTGAACGGTTAAAGAACGCTTAGTGTCTTTCCATTTGATCTTTCGAATGATTGCTATCGCTATGATTTTTTAATTTCAAGAAAAATAGTCATGAAAAGTTTTAAATTCTTTATTTTTTAAAATCCCATGGCAATTTTCTTACTTCATCAGAGAATTTGAAGGTAGTTTCGGTCGCCAGCTCCTCACGAAAAGCCGCATTTTCCTGGGCTTGCCTCATACCAGTAGCATGAATCGTGTAGGCAGAAATAATACTCATTATCTATCAAAGGTGCAGTTTGCTTACTCCGTTCCCTGGCCTAGTCTTACTTTAACAAAGTTCTCGGACTGAGCTAGATATTTGGAGAAAAGAGAATCCTTCAATCCATGACACTATTAATCCATTACGCAGGCTTTGTTCTGATCCAGATCATATCTAAACAAGATGTAAATGTAAAAACAAAGAGGAAAAATACGAATCAGTAAGAATCAGTAGAAATTATCTGGATTTGAATAATTCGTCTGAGTCGCGGGAGTGTTTGAGGTAGACGATTTAATACAATTCATCGTGGGTCTCCTTCAAATCATATAATACGGCCCCAGTATTCATGACAGCTTTGATTCATGATATTCACATTACAATAATTTGCTGGGACGGTGATCTATTAGTTTGCAGATATAGAATATAGATGCACTATCGAGTGAGTAGGCATAATTCTAGTAACCGACTGGGAAGATCTTCACCCGACTCCGAGGCCAGGGAGAAAGCCTTTGCACGAGCCTTGCTAGGATTTTTATCAGTCAGAATGTTTGGGCTGGAATCGGACATAGAAGTGATTTTTCAAAATTTTTAGGATTTCAGGTTCCCTTCTCTGCTTTTGATAGTATAGGATCATAATCAAAGTTTTTATCTTTGGCCTGAAACATCGAAAAAATTATATCGCGAGTTTTCCAGTCGGTTACCGCTTTTTATCTTAAAAAATCAGTATTTCAGACTCTAGAAAGCTGCAAGACTGCAATAAGAACGACAACTACAACAGGTAAAGATATCAATGGAAGTATTGAAGTAACTTGATACAATTTTATAATTGTATAATGCCAATTTATTGATCAGATTAGTAAGACTTTCACTACAAAGCTGGAATCAAATTAAATTCGTTTATCAAGAGTTTCGTACAAAATGAAAGGCAAAGTTTCAAAAACCCTTTAACAAAAGTAATATCACTTTAAATTAAAACTGATACTTCATCTGATAACACGGAAAGTAAAACAAGTTTTAATCCCTGACTCCAAAAAACGAAAACTAAATCAGTCCTTTTATAAACTCTATCTCTTCATCTCTCCTCATTTCTCATTCCTCGGATTTCACAAAGGAGATAAACTACTCATTCAGATTTAAGTTTCTTGTGTGCCGCCCCTGCCTTGTCAATCGCACTTTCTCTTGGTTGCTGTAAACCTCTCTTGGTACTGATAGAAAACAAGATTGAGATTTCGAAGCGAATATGAATAGAATTCGGTGAAAAGGGATATTTTCAGTTAAAACCTTAAACTTACAACAATAATCGTATTAAAGATAGCCGAATCCTACACGCATGTTTATTGTTTACCTTATCGTACCCATTCATTTCTCTAAACTTTCTCAGATCAATAGGGTTAGCCTCCAAAGAGAGGGTCGAGATCATCGAACTGGGAGTGGAAACTTTGTTATTGGAGTGTTCGGGCAAAGAATATCACAAATAAAGATAAATCAACGTGTCTTAAGTGATGGAAGTAATTGGGGGGGTAACCATATTAAAGTATATTGAAATGTAGGTTTTTTCAGATTTTGGCCCGGGGTATACTTTAATATACTTTAATATATTTATATACTTTAATATGCTGTCGGGATTCTAGTCTATTAATACTTTTCAAACAAAGTTACAACGAATTCTTCATGTAGTGCATCCTTGGTTTGGACAGAATATGCCCTAAAGTTAAAGTCTCATACAAAAATATTGAAATCAAATCATTTGCATTAGACTTAGAGGCCAAAAGCTATCTATATTCAACTATCTCAAAACATAATATTTCCCGGGTAACAGAGTAGATTACTGTGGGTACATTTTACAAGTCAAAGGTTTGCTCCATTACTAGGGGCAAGGAGTCTATCAGCACGAAGTGTACTGATCTGTCCTCCTTCAACAATCCCAGCTGTGAGTAGCTGCAGTTTTCTGTTTTCCTGTTATTTAATCCCCCTTTTTAGCTTTCCCAAGAAACTTTCTGAAATATTGTGCGTTTTTTCCTGATCTCCTGATGACATTGTATGAAAATTCGAAGGATTGTTATCTGTAAGGATGTCAAAGTTGCTGCTTTAAAAATTTGGGTCACGTTATACAAAGCCACACTACGAATTACAACTCAGACTAATTCTAAATCGAAAATCCATGATACAGATTTTAAAATGTAATAAAATAGGGATCACATATGACTTGAGATCTCTAATAGAACCTCCTTTCTAAATAAAGTTACCCTAGGTTTTGGTAAGGTAGACCTACGGGCGTACTGCGCCGAGAAGTTCCGAATAGTTATGCTCCAAGTGGGTCGTAAATACCCAATACCCGCCGAAAAGTACCACGCATGGGGACTGACCACCGACGGAATTAGAGCCATCAATAAATGCTGGACTAGGACTTACGGTTTGTGGAATTTTCAGATTTTCGTTCGACACGGAGAACTTTACCAGGATATCGGTATAAACCTAATTTGATCGAGAAAAATTCAAACATTCAGTATACAAACAGGTATGATCAAACAAAATATGACAAATGGAAACTTTTCAAACTTATCTTAGTATTTTAATATCACAACTTTATCATATCATGTTAATAAAAGTAAGCTCACTAGACCCATTTCACTAGTCCCTGGTTCGGGAATTATAAGACCCAACGTTTGCACACTGACTTTTGGTCCCCCCCCCCCCCTGAATAATTCTTAAGATTCTTTCTGTATGTATGTCTGTCTGTTGATCGGTGTTGTGGTAATTACGTTGTGTGTTGTACATTTATATCGGCTGTATCTTCGGTTAAGATGAACATTTTTTTATGCGATTAAAACTTTCTTTCAAAGAACACTACTACTACTAGCATCATCCCTGTTACCACGGGCTTTCTAGTATTTCTATAATTATCATGCAAGTTGGGCCAGTTGCACTAGACATGGGACAGTTTAGCTACTCAACATGGTATTTAATACAGCAAGCTTTCACGTAACTCGGAGGAAGAACTACATCTCCTTCCCTAGGCTCGCTCTTCAAGAGGGAAGGAGATTAGCTCTAAGTTATTAAATATTAGCTTCCTGTAGGTGGCGGTGGGAAGTGACAACGTGACCAACCTATGCCCCCTGTCAAATTTTGAGAGTTTACTAATCAACCTCGGTTGCATGCACCATCGCTCCTTTAACTACCTCAACATTGACACCACTAAAACATAATATATAAATCTTCACTCCACTATCCCCTGATGATAAAAACACATTGTCTGAATCAAACAACCTGTTGTTACACTTATATTATGTTTCCAGAACCTCCTCCAGAACCTCCTAAGTACTGTGTTAGTCAGTAATGGTCAATTTTACAATCTTATTTATAAAAGGGTTAAAAACACTGCTCAACAAGCTTAATAACCATTTTCAATTCTTTCTGCCACTCCTTGACATACATTAATCAAGGAATTTAGATACGATTTAACTCCATAGGTAAAGCTGTAAATATTGTGCTATACTACAGCATGAGCAGCTTCAGTGACCAAGTTTATTGGTAAGATCCCAAGTCCTGATGAGATCTGTCGCTAAATGTCTGTCTGTTGTCAAAATACATTAACGTAAAACTTATTAATCACAATTTTAATGTTGTAGTCAGCCTGATATGATATATTGTGATAATTCCGAGTAACTACGCTCTCATTTTATATCAGTGTTCTAACATGTACAAAAAAGGAATTTTTCGGATCCGGGCCATGTGATTACACTACGGGTTATATGTATAATTCCACGAGCAGTTGACTGTTGAGTAATTATTAAAAAGGAAGTTGATTAGACTTAGAACTCTGGAGCGTGCTTGAATCAAGATAACCTAAATTGCTTCTACGGATGTGAGAGCTTATTAAATTAAAAGCAAAACTTGAGTTGAGTAGATATGACGTCATGCACACCCTCATTGTGTAAATTTTGCTGAATTTAATTGTAATAATAATAAATTGAAATTTAATAACACCGCTTTTAAGATAAAACTTATACTCAGCAGTGTTTGAACTAGTCATCCCAGAAAATATCATGAATACTGAGTTAAGAAGATAAATTATGCTTGAAAATATATCGTCAATACTAAAGCCAGAAAATGGTACTTAAATATATTACGCAAAGATCGAATACCAAATATGACCAAAATAGTTATCAATAACGTTTTTCAAGTTCATCTAGGGACAGTTTGAAAAGGTACGTTTTGAGAAGAGCTTTAAAAGATTCCAGGGATTGAGCTAAGGAGATGGTAACAGGCAGACGATTGTAGATCTTTGGATCTATAATTGATTACCTTTACAATATTATGTGGATGATGAGAAAGTGATCTGTTCAATCAGTGTCAAAAGACCCTGTATGATTAACATAAACATTAAACAATGAAATGATAATAAAATCCAGCTTCGCCAGCTTTGGGACTGTATGTCATTTAGTTCTCCGTATTGTCACTGTTTTACTATGTTATAGTTGCCAATAATGCTGAAAATTTTGGGTATATACTTTAAGGGGTCGTTCACATATTACTTAATATACTTTACATACATGTTACATGTTACATGGCGAGATCTCCATCCAAAAGGATTAGTCTGCGTCATCTGCGTCATTACTTTGTATTATACAACTTCGGCGGGTAATATTTCTCCATCCTTTTCGATCTGCAGCCAATCTTCTCATACAATCAATCGTGAGTCCATTACGATCCAATCTCTGCTCAGCATCTTCAATAAATACATCATTTAAGCTCTTCCTAGGCCTGCCTCTTGATCGTTTCCCATGCTTGGGTTTCCATTCAAGTAGATAGTTAGGTAACCGATCTTCAGGCATTCTACTGACATGTCCAAACCAACGTAGCCGTTTTGTTGCTATTATGTCAGTAAGAGCAGTTATTGAAGCCCTTCTTAAAACATCTTCATTTCTTACTCGATGGAACCACCTCACTCTCAGGATTCTGCGTAAGCAGTACTGATGGAAAGACTCTAATCTTCTTGTCTGCACTTGAGTCGTGTTCCATATCTCACTTCCATAGGTCAGAATGGTAAGAACAGCTGCGATGTAGATTCGCACTTTGTTGTTAATGCTTATGTTCTTATTCTTCCAAATGTTATTGAGTTGGTTAAAAGCTCCGGTTGCTTTTCCAATCCTGACACTTATTTCTTTATCGATCTTGCCATCCGATGTAATTTTGGCACCCAAATAAGTGAATTGAGTGACCTGCTTTGCAGAGTTTCCATCGACAGTAATATCTATGGTCCTATTCTCTGGGAGTGGGTGCTGCGACGTATCTTTCCCAATTACCATGATCTCTGTTTTCTTTGCGTTCATCTTTAAACCCCCAAGCCCACAGTATTTCGCAATATTGTCCGTTGTTTCTTGCAGTCCCTCGACAGTGTCATCCATGCCTGCTATGTCATCAGCATAGTCCAAATCAATGACACATTTTTGTCTGTACTGAAGAGTAAAACCACGCGATATATTTTTAAACTTCTCGGCAAGTTCTAATCCCCAGTTAAGTACAAGGTTGAAAATGGGGGGCCCTTGCACATCACCTTGTCCAGTCCCCGAATCGACATCAAACCATCTTGTCAATTCCCCATTGACACGAACTGCACTTTCAGTTGCTCTAAAGAACGCTTTGAAAACATTGATGTATTTTGTTGGAAGACCATAATGTTCAAAAGCTTTCCAAATAAAGTCACGATTGATTGAATCAAAAGCAGCTTTAAAATCAATAACGTTTATATACAAAGGGACGTTGAATTCTATACAATTGTGTATTATACAATGAAGGGAGTATAGCTGATCTATACAAGAACGGTTTCTCCTGAAACCACACTGATTTTCTCTAAGTAACTTTTCAAGCCCATTACTTAGTCTTTTTAACAACACGATTTGAAATAACTTCGATACTGTGGAGCGTAGAGTTATCCCTCTGTTGTTGTTGCAATATGTGAGGTCCCCTTTCTTTGGGATGATGGTGATGATTCCTTTCCTCCAATCACTAGGAATATCCTCACTTTTCCATACAGTTTCAAACAAATCTTTTAACCAAGGCAGAAGTCCAGGAGAACCGTACTTTAACTGCTCATTTGAAATTTCATCAATTCCAGCACTTTTGTAGTTCTTCAACTTCTTGATAGCTTCCTCAATTTCAAACAAGGACGGTGGCTCATCATCATTACTAAGATATTCAAAAGAAAGTACCTTTTCGTCCTCATCCAATAGAAAGAAATCCACCGCATCTGCTGCTGGCGTTAAGAGTTCTTCTTTAATATACTTTAATATACTTTAATATACTTTAATATACTTAAATATACTTTAATATACTTTAATATACTTTAATATACTTTACGTTACGACATGGTTATGACATGGTCATTACATGGTTAAGTTGTGACATGGTCATGCTGTCGGGATTCTAGTCTATGACCTAAAGTTAAAGTCTCATACAAAAATATTGAAATTTAATCATTTTAGGGGCCAAAAGCTATCACATTTTGTTTGTGTTTCCAAATATGGGCATATAGTTTTTGACTCATAACACGGCCATTTTTTGTCCAAACTGGATGAAAATTCGTGTATGAGTTCAGGGGACTAACAACTGGCTTATCTTGTAAATCTTAACGAAGAATATAAATCTACTAATTGTAGGTATATTAAATATATTAAAATGCAGGTTTTTTTTCCGATTTTGACCCGGGGATATACTTTACTATACTTTAATATGGTCCCCCCCCCCCCCCCCCCCCCCCAGTAATTGCTATTATAGTTATAAAATAAATACATCACTAAATAAGCGATGAGAGCAATGAAAAGCTCTTACTTGCTCAAGATCTCAGTAGGAATGCCGGCACACGTAATAGAGTTGTGATCAAGTCGCAGGACTCTGAGAACCTGGTTCTTCGCCAAACCAACCGGTATCACTGCAATTTGTCAGGTTTTTTTTTATAGGATTGCATATTCTGACTCAGAGTCATCGCGGGTCAAGCTTCTCAAGGAAATTGTAAATACTAGTTTTTTATGATTTTCTAAGAAACTGAAAATATTTCAATGTTTAAACTTTAAAAACCTGCGATGTCATTACTGTTCAGATCTATCTCCACCAACTTAAGCTCGCACATTCCATCAGGTATGGTGTGTAGTCTGTTGTTAGATAAACAAATGTAGTCCAACTTCTTTAAACTGGAGATACTGTCTGGGATCTAGGGGAGGGTACTGTTATTATCTCTCTATTAATTTATAATGAAGGGAATGAAGCATGGAGGAAAAGTATCACTCTAGGGTCCGTCTTGTGTAGCAAAGCTGATATTCAGCGTCGCATAAACCTGGGATATGCTGCCTTTAACAATTACAAGAAGGCCTGGAGTGATAAACTGCCCCTAAACAAACGTCTAATACTGTATAATGCTTTAGTCGTATCGGTTCTTATGTACAACTCATCCTGTTGGGCCGTCCCCAAAATATTCCTTGAAAAACTAGATGTTGTTCACCGCAGACATCTTCGCACTATTTTGAATATAAAGTACCCAGGAGTCATCTCCAATAAAAACTTGTATAAACGCTGCAATGCTGAACCATTGTCAGAAAAAGTGGCCCGTAGTCGGTGGAGAATGTTAGGACATATTTTGCGGGGTCCTATTGACGGACCAGCGTTTTCTTCCCTCATTTTTGCCATCAATACACTGGACTTACCAGGGAGAAGAGGAAGACCCCAAAGCAATCTATTCTCGCTGATTGTGCATGATTTATGTAAAAGAAATCTTTATTTGAATAATATCTTTGACCTGCATTATCTCCGTAATTTGAGTTATGACAAGAGATATTGGCGGAAATTGCAATGAAGTTTTTAATTTTTAGTTTTTGTTTTAGGGAAAGATTAGACTCGGGCGTTGTTTTTTAACTATCCCTTGTTTAGAACTTTGATTTAATAAATAATAATAATTTATAAATTAAGTATTTTATCTCTAGTAATTTGAAAATTAATTATCATATTTCTAGTAATTTATAAATTTAGTTATTTGTTTTAGGGAAAGATTAGACTTGGGCGTTGTATTTTAACTTTCCCTCGTTTAGAACTTTTATTTAATACATTTACAATATAAATTAAGCTGTCTCATAACAGATCCTGAGCCCGTACGTCATGTTACTTGTTGAAAATGGTGTCTTTCATAAGCTGTCTCTTTAGATCCTTACCCCAGGTGTCATGTCACGATGATGATCTAAACCTATCATTATCAAAAGATTCAGGTCCCGTGTTAACATTCAGATTACATAGTCCGCGCCTGGTGACGAGTTTTGCACGTGCTCTAATCAAGATTCACGAATAACAATATACAAGTGGCCACTAGTCATTACTAGTCGCTAGAGATGAGTTAGTTCTGCCTAGTATAACCCACCGGGTGGCTTATACTAGACAGAACTAACTGATCTCTAGCAGGAACAAAAGAAAATCGCGATTACTTTGGCCAAAAATCGCGATACCGCGACAAGCCAAACAGGCGACATGTAAAATTTGTCGCAAAAAATGGGAAAAAATGGAGATTCTGCACATGCCGTGATTTCCTTTTGTCCCTGCACCGGTGGGTTACACTAGACAGAACTAACTGATCTCTACCGACTAGTGAGCTGCTAGCTTTGGTTACGAGCGATAAACGTGGATTCATGGTAGGTTCAGCCGGGGTTTGTAGTGTAGTTTACTCAAAGCTTCCAAGTCATGTGTGCGTTTATCAAGAAACATACCAACGTTTGTGTTTTTCATGTATGACTGAATTTGTATTTTCGATCTCCACCTTTTTAAAAGTGTAAACATACAGCAACTCAATTTTCATGTAATCTAAAGTATGTAAAATAAAACTCTAGATCTAGAGGATTATACTGATAACTTAGAGTTATATTCACCTCAGAGATTCTACACCGACTCAGGTCGAGATGTTTAAGGTTCCCACACCGGTGTATGGGGGTGGGCCATTCCATGAGCGGGTTCCCCGACAGGTGTAGTGCCTCTAGTTTACCTAGATTACCTATAGTTTTAGGTAACTCACCTGTAATAGGATGTTAGTTGGGGGAGTTAGTTGGAGGAGAATACATTAGTTTATGTATTGGTCCGGTGCCAGGAAACAAGTTCGGCACGTGACAGTGCTCCTGGTTAAGGACTGTCACGTGCCAGAAAATATGCAGTTAACTTTTCAACATTTAATCAGCAGTATACTCATAATATATAACATGTGCTCCCAATTTTGGTCACAGCCGCCGTTTTCTCTAATGAATATTGATGAGTTAACTGTATATTTTCTGACCTGCCAATTTTCTGACAACACGAGGCCGGGGAGTCATTAAAATGCTAAACATTTGTTTACAGACATATTCTAGGCAGAGTATATGGGCTTCAATGACTCTATAGTGATTACATATTATATTGATTCTTCTCACATTATTATATTCTGGCAAACTGCTGAATTGTCTTGAAGTTGGACTGTAAAACAGGTGCTAATTAATCTCGCAAGATTGTTTATTGATTAGAGCGTGGTAATCAGCACATGATAATATTAGAAAATTCGTTGCAACAAGTCATGGCTCTGCAATTCTTATAAATCATGTCCAGGTTTTAAAGCACTCTAGTTGTTATTGTTGACAACTTCATAGTTTGGTGACTGACCTTCTATCTTATCATCTTACGTAGCTTTTAATCTTACCTAACTTATTCTCCTCTAACTTGAAGGTGCGTATCATCTGCATGCAGCCTATGTCGTCAGGTAACTCTTCTATCCTGTTGTTAGATACGTCCAGAGTACGCAGGTTCCTCCGCAACTCCAGTATGTCTTCTGGAAACTTTATACATGTAAGCCATGGGTAGTGGCACGAAAAAAGGGAGGGGTTCACGATTAGTGCTAGTGAAAGATTAAAAGCTGACATTTTCATATTATGACAATCATGGTGTTTTCAGATTCTGAGCTAAAGGGCCACAAGGTTGGAAAGTTTGGTTATTTGGTTACTTATTTGGTTACTTATAAGTAGCCAAATTTGGTTACTTATCTATTTCATTGTACCTTGTCAAGCTTTTTATTCTGTAGAGACAGCACTCCAGTCTTCTTAGCATGATCCAGTGGAACACTCAGATTGTTTCCACCCATGATTCACTTTCGGTTTCACCTTCTCTGTTTCGGTTTCAGCTTCTCTATTTCAGTTGTAGTTTCTGTTGTTGTTATTTTACGTCTGTTCCATTATCATTAGTTTCAATCTCTCTTCAGAGATAACTTTACATAGCTGCAATGTAATAAGTTGAGTTACTGTACCCTATAGAATGGAATATAATACTCTAATAGAAACATTATTGCTATTTATTATGAACTGAATTAATTTAGATACAGAACACGTGGAGTGGGATCAGAAAGTAAAGATGGAACTTCCATTAAATACAAATATAATGACAAAACTTACAAACATGTAAGGAAATGTACAAAATAACCATCACAACAGCCTAAATGATACATGTACTGTATCTATTTAACCTTAATAACTTAACTAATGTAATAAGAAAATGAAAGCTTAACACGAAAATTGGCTTAACAACTCGAAGCATGGCCGAACGGAAAGGAAGTCATAATGTGTGCTAACGTGTAATAACTTAATAAAACTCATAGTAATCGGACCGCAGCCACAAAAATATAAAATTTTCAACTCTAAAAAATGTATTTTGATAACGAAGCCTGCATTTCCTCCCAAAAGCTTTATGACAACATTATCTTGTATCTAGTATCGTCCACACTTCAACAGTATTTTACAACTAACGTAGGTGATGACGCACTCATTTACGCACTGTATCTTATATTTATTAAAAACAGAATAATATAATTGGAAAGGATTTGCAAGAGCAGCTGGTAGTTTATTAGTCGTACAGTATGAGAACTTTGATTGATTTTATTTCTCTGTTCGATTAATTAGTGATGAATCGTTTTACTTTAAGGTCAAACGTTATAATTAAAAGAAGAATAGTGCCCTTAGAAGAAGAAACAGTTCAACCCCTCTCAGTGAAATTTGGGACATCTCCTTAATTCAACAGAACCATAATCAAGACAGCCATGTAAAAGATAGTCTGTAAAATATCCCGAGCATTATCCTAGAAGATTCCCTAAACGATAAAAAACACAACCACAAACCACATAGTTCCTCCGCACTGAGCGAGTGTTAACACTCTCAAAAACCAATGAACAAATGACAAGACAGCCACTAGACTGCTCTATTATGAGGTGCTGGTGCACACGATCACACCCTTCACAGTTCACACTTCATATAATATCACACAAGCATCATCAAGACTAGCAGGATAGTGAAGCGAAAAAGGAACAACCCCGATAATTCTATAGGAATTGAACACAGCCACTTAACATGAATAAATTAGTACTTACCATCAGACAACGTTTGATAGTAGTCCCACAACCAAGCACATTGCCTAGAAGTCCTCCATTATATATTATAATGAACCTGGACATATGTGGCGTGTAGCTCTAGAAACCAAAGCAAACCAAACGTTTGATAGTAGAACCAATGAACAAACACAATGATTGACACTAGACTGCTCTATTATAAAGTGTTATATTCCACCCACTAACCGGTCCTATAAAGTGTTAACGTACACTAAAACACTAAAACACACCAACTATCACACTCCACCCACATATACGGTGTTAAAAACAAGTAGGTACTAAATAGTAACTAAAACACGAGTAAGACACAACCTCGCACAATACACTGTGTATTTGAACTGTGAGTGACCTGGTTTCGTAGATACTGTGCCAGAGAGAGAGTGTGTGTGAGTGGGTGTCTGAGCGTACTTTTAATAAAGCGTGCTTTTCACAACAGATACTCGGGTTAAACAATGGCACTAATGCCACATACCATCATTCACTGACGTGTGAGCAGGTTTATCATGTGCAATATGTGAATTATCATGTGTAATATGTCGCTTTAATTACATATTATATGTGATTTATCACATGTAACTATGTTATGTGTCGCATAAATCAACGAGTTGTGCATTCTCCTTGTTGAATTGACGATATACAAAACATCTATGATATTCCTTATTAACAACGTGAATCAAATATTGGATATGATGGATCAAATTGAGACCAGAATTTCAAATGGTGCATTAATCCTTACCTCCTAGCGACAATTTTCTTGTGTACGTACGTTGAGTAAACCTAGATCATAATCTAGAACAGGTAATTCAGCTGCGGGAAAATTATCTAATTCAAAAACATTTTGCGATCGATTAAATTCCTTTACAACTTAGATTCGGGGTTTATTATAGGCTCCTGCTCGCTAAAATTGGTTACCAATACTTACTGACTATACCTATAATAGGTTTTAAGGCAAGGTCATTGGGTGGTTGAAACTGAAGCTTTAATTATTTCCTAAATTTAATCGAAATTATTCAAAGGTTTAGAAAACTGAAGCTACAATAGACGTACGTTCAATATAGAATAATGAGTTTCGCGTGACCCCCAGGCGAGTCAACTTATTGATAGCGTGTACGGGATTGAGGCTTTCTGTTTGGTAGTGTCATATTCAGTGTTATTTATTTCCGATATATCTCAGAATCTCTGTATTTTCAGAATCTCTGTATTTTCTGGCTTGACCATGTTCAAAACACGCATGATAAAATCTTACACGTTCACTCTCCGTACTGTATACAAATATAAAGAGTCGAACTGCTAGTGATAACAGGACTATGGTATCAAAGGGCCCGTTGTAATGGCCTGACGGTGGACAATTCATTAATATTAATTAATGCTCCTGATTAATATTGATCAATGCTCCTAATTAATATTAATCAATGCTCCTAATTAATATTATATAATATTTCTCACCTATCATTAGTGTCATTAGTGCGAAATTAATAATCCTGTATTCATTAAACATTTTAAATTCTCCTTATTAATCTTCAAGATCGTCTTGTGCCTACTAGTACTGGACATCCTTTACTTGCTATTAGACATCCTCTAGTTTCTACTAAACATTAGACATCCTTTATTGTTGTAGTTGCTATTGGACATCTTCCTCGCGTAGTCTCTGTTCGTTGATAAGCAGTCTGTTAGGTGATCTGAACCAGATGAAGACTGCAGCTAGTACCACTACAGCGCTTACTGACGCTACCTGTATAGGGGTACAGTTAGTAACTAGATCTAGAAACCAGTTGGTAATTAGTAAGTACAGTAAGTGCCTAGCCCTAATATCTAACTGTTTCAATGTAAAAAACGTCCACTTCTATTTTGGATTTAATAGGTTTAGTTTCTAATTAATTTGCAATGAGGGCCCTAACCTGTTGTAACATTTGATTTGACGTTATTCTCTCCTGCATGTCTTCCGGTGTGTACAATCTGTACAGCTCTGAAAATACAGTTTGTTAAGTGTTCATTAGACTGTGTAAAAATGTAATGAATAAAATGCCAGTCCCCTTAATGTTACAGGAGAGGCCAAAAGTCAGTACTGTTAAAATGTCAGGTTCTATTATTGAACAATATATAATATCGCCAGGCTAGGTAGATACATATTTTGTAGTAGTACAGGGAAATCCGTCTGAAAAAATCGATCTGCCGACACACAAAGCTAACAAAGGATTTTTGACGTTTTTGAGTCCTAATAGGTGTCCTTTATGGCTGACCAACATTTCCAAACTTTTCCACGTGTCTTAAGGCCACTTTTTGCCACTTTACCACTTTTTACCACCTTTCTTGTATATCAAATATCTTTAGTTGTGAACATCTAAAAAATTTTAGTGCTAATCTGAACCGGCCTACCTGGATTACCATCTACCTCTTCTTTTCCTCAATAATTAGACCTAATTGTGCAAAAATGTGATTTATCATAGCTCATATTGCATTTAGTGGGTGATGTAAGTACTTATCGGACTGTACTCAATCACAATAGTAATATTAATAGTTATACGACACAATACATTTGTATTAAATGGCCCTTAATGCGGTATATGAAACGCTTTATACCTCGATAGACCCGGTAAAGTTTATCACGAAAACGTCTACTTGGCCTCATGGCTCATTTACAGCTCGAAGAAGGCAAGAAAAGACCATGGATACCAAGGAAGAGCTAGGAAGTAGGAAGCAAGTGTGAATATACACCTTCCAACATCTACTGTGTTGTTCTGCATACCGCTTCATTCGCTATGTGAGATACATCAAATCACCCCAATATTTCAGGGTCGGCTAAAATCAAAAAGAGTAAGATACGGGCAAAGGTAAGATCTAGATACAAGCGTCAGGCATGGGCAAGAGCCGGTAATAATTATGTTGGATTGCAATCCGGATGTTGTGAATTAAAAAGACAGGTTCTTGCAGCAGGATATTTGGGGGCCATAATGATCAGCTCGGGATCAATGTGGGACGGATCGAAGAGCATTAAAATGAACGAGTTGACATTTTAGGCTTTCTGATCTTTTTTTGCCTTCTTCGAGCTGTCAATGAGCCATGAGGACAAGTAGAAGTTTTCGTGATACAGTAAAACCTCTCTTTACCGGCCTTTCGCGGGAGAAACGAGAAGTGTACGGTATAGTCTATAGATTAATAGAAACACCCCGATAAAGAGCGTTCCAAATACCTAGCATCAGTTAATTCTTTTTATTTCGCTATCATATTCTGTTGGCCGGCAGAGGCGATACATTTATAAAGTAGCTTAGCACATGGGTCCTGATGCTTCTTGCAGTTACGGTGTTCATTATTAAATTAATTTGTATCAATTATTGTTAAGTTAATTATTACTATTATTTATCACTATTGATTATACAATATATATATATCCTTCAGGACTAAACAGAGCGCTTGTTGAGTTGTAGTTCCTCCTTTAAAGGAACTACAAAAATTACACTTAAACAGACGGGAAGTACATCATGGAACTCAATTTAATGTTACAGAACGATGATGTGCCATTAAATCGTTAAGCTTTCACAAGCATCTGCTCTTACTGAGATTCCAAGCCTTAGTTTTAAATACAAGATCTATATCTATATGGTATGGATTTTAGACTATTTGCTCACAGTGTTCTGTAGCTTGTATATTTATGTATTATATTATATTAGTTAATATCATCTATAATATTGGCCCATGCGTGATTCCACTGACGAAATCACAAGTTTGTGACTAACTGTTGAATTATTCAAACGACTCATAATTTATGAATTGTAATGTAAGAGCCAAGTACAATGAGAGAATTCTATACTATTATTGAGGGAGAGATTCTCAGATCGTTAGTGGAGCCAGAGCCCGCTCTGCGTGATAAATAAGCCTAGAAAGCAGATACGAGTAATTAGTTAACCAATATCATGAATATGATTATGATTCACATACGACCTTCCTGAGCTGGCTGTGATCGCTATTCCTATCCAGTACTTAGATAATATGCTCATTTATCCCTTTATTCTGGACAAGATGTTCCTAAATTAATAGTAGAAGAGCGGCGGGTTGGTTAAATCGGTCTAAGTCCTGTGTTTTCATATGTATAGGATCCCGAATTTTAGTGTCAATTAGCTCCATTCCACAGCAGTCTTTTAAAATACAGATGTATTATACATCGGGACATATTTTCTGAGATTTTCAGCCGGTCATAGCATTCCCCAATTCTGTATTGATATGATTTACTACAATAAATGGGTAATTATTCAAATAAACTTACTTGGATAGTATTTCTTGTGTATTCGGAGAGTATAGTCATTAAGGTTAGTGAGCTTCCCCAGATCGTCTTTAAGTTGGGACTTCATCGGACATGACCTGTGGAATTTGTATAACGTGTTACGTGTACGTATCATCTAAGTGTTATGTAATAAAGCTGTTTTAAGAAGCCCGTTTTAAGGAGCCCGTTTTAAGGAGCCCGTTTTAAGGAGCCCGTTTTATGGAGCCCGTTTTATGGAGCCCGTTTTAAGGAGCCCGTTTTAAGGAGCCCGTTTTATGGAGCCCGTTTTAAGGGAGCAATCTAAGCTTAATTACTAAGTTTGGGAGATCTACCAGAACTGAACATGAAAATGTTGTGAACTCTGTTGTGTTTCCGCTATATTCACTATTATATTCACACGAATGATAGTACTAAGTATGAAGGACGAAGGTGTAACACGTCACCTGATGAGAGACAGATGAGCGAACATGTAGGCGTCAAGCTGTGAAGGAACATTTCCGAATATAAACTGGTTGTTGCCCAGTTTCGTGGACAGGATTTGTAGGCACCTCTTGCTCGACTCAAATACCTGGAATATTTAGGTACTGAAATATTTGGGATTTTAGGAGGTGCTAAGAGAAGGTTAGGAGACATTACAAGGAATAGGCAGCCGAATATCTGCATTCCAGCAATTTTTATATACATCTCAGAACAGTAATTTAAACGTTTTTACACAATATATCAAAATGGATATATGATAAAAGCTTAAATGTCGTTTGAGAGTGACATAATATTATCACGGACCACATTAAGCGTCTATATATTGGTCTATGTTCCTAACCGCACACTAAACAGCAGTATATTATATGATTCAAGTACCCCACACACTAAACGGCAGTATATTATATGATACCCCACAGTCGACACCCCTTAACTGATTACTCATATTTAGAAGGCACAAAGTAGCTTCTAATTATACATATTAACGAGGGTACCAGCTACTAGCTACTAGCTACCCTGCTCTCCCTGCTCTCCCTGCTCTCCCTGCTCCCAACTATAACGGAGCTCTGGAGCTTCAGCTTATTGTTCTCCTCGGTGAGGTAATATTTCCTATTTAACTTGCTCCGTTAATATTAGCGATATAAGCGCATGTCATGTTATTGTAACGCATGGGTTCGCTGTACTGTTTATTAAAGTCATTATTGTAACCATATAATATATTAGAACCATACAGGCTCACACTAGGAGGCAGTTAATGCTGCAGCTAAAAATATTCATTCATATTACTAAGGCTTCAAATTGTGTAAGGTGTCCATCACCACATTATTGACACGTAAAGTTTCTTTATTTGGTTTTTCGTTATATTAATCTCAATGAAAATTGTAACTTTTGACTACTAACATAACAGCGTCCTGTATTTGAAATATTCTTTATGAAATTTATTTGTTTACGTTGATTCTCATCTAACGTTTGTTGCCAAACCGAACTGTTGGGAAAATTGGTGATCTGTACTTTAGGTCGTATTCAAAACGTTGAATCTCCACTGAATTTTCAGAGCTTTCCTTCGGTGCCCGTTTGAATAAAGATCAGGGTAATTGACTCCTCTAGAGTACTAACATCATTTTTTCCAGTGGTGATAATATAACCAGCCCCGCTTTCTGAGTCTGTGTGTGACCCATCAGTGTAGCAAGTGATCGTCGCGCTACACTGGGGATATTATATCACTGTGTCCGCTTGAAAGATCGAGGTAATCAACATATCATTGAAATTTCAGGCTAGATTCACAATACCAGATCTACAAGATCGATTTCGCAACTCATTTCACAACTAGCTCATGAGGCTGATTACCAACTGCGTACTGGCTAGTGAATAGTGATCTGTCACGTCCTTCTTTGGACTGTTTTTGAACCTTAAATTGTACCTCTATTAGCGAAGTGTGTCGTATTGAGGTGCATGTTTTTGTGGTTCATTAGGAAGTACCTAGAATCTTTTGTTGCCAAACCGAACTGTTGGAAAAATTGGTTATCTGTACTTTAGGTCGTATTCAAAACGTTGAATCTCCACTGAATCTTCAGAGCTTTCCAGTTTCCTTCGGTGCCCGCTTGAATAAACATCAGGGTAATTAACATATCTATCTGATAGACAGGATGATAGGCAGGAAGCTTGAATGATTTTTCCTCTAGAGTACTAGTATTATGTTTACCAGTGGTGATAATATAACCAGCCCCGCTTCCTGAGTCTGTGCGTGACCCATCAGTGTAGCAGGTGATCGTCGCGGTAATCAACATATCATTGAAATTTCAGGCTAGCTTCACAATACCAGATCTACACACATTTCACAACTAGCTCATGATGCTGATTACCACCTGCGTACTGGCTAGTGAATAGTGATCTGTCACGTCCTTCGCTTCTTTGGTCTGTTTGTGAACCTTAAATTGTACCTTTATTAGCGAAGTGTGTCGTATTGTGGTCTATGTTTTTGCAGTTCATTAGGAAGTACCTAGTATTATACCCTCTTTCATTGTGTAAATGCATACACTAAACAGTCTTACCGAGGAACCTAAAGGTTACCTTTTGTAAATTCACTGCTTTACTGCCTAACTTTAATCCCATATCATCAGAGACCTCAATTCTGGATTTATTGTCAGGGTTCAAGATAATTTACAGCATGTACGGTTTATTCAGAAGTCTAATATTTTTGACTAAAATTAACGCCTCAAAAATCTCACACTCATCTCCAACCGTAACTAGTTAGTTTTACATACGAGACGTCTTGACAATCTTAATCATTTCGATTCAGCCAGCGCCATGGATCATTCAGAATAACCAAGTGCAAGTGGATAATCACTGGCCCTGAATGTTCACCATTTGTATGCGTGATATCTTTGTTGTCCACCCTCCGTTCAGGCTATGGCAGGATGTCCATTGTTCTGTCTTGGACTGGGCCGAAGTTTAAAATTTTAGCCTGATCTCTGTTCTCGAGCAGTCCATAAATCTGTAACGATTTGAAGCTATCACTTTCAGGGATATTTAGAACATTTATCTTTAATTTGTATAATATTGCTCTTCCGCCCGTTTTGGTTCTTCAATATCATTTCTTCTTAACTTAAGTTCCCGTTTCCAAGAAATAAGCTGACAACTAGTACTTCCTATTGTGCGCATGGGACGAAGATTTGTAATCTTGCGTTTCATATACACAAGCAAAAGTATTCCATAACTTGTTTCTTATCATTATTTTCGGATTTTTTCCAGTTGTAAAAATAGCGTAGAAGTGTACTTGAAGTTTGAGTTCCAATTTCGGATCCAATATTTTGATACAATTCGATCGAGTGTACGTTCGGCCAGTCTAGCGCGCTTATATTGCGGACGTACGCGCGTGAGCGCTATGCAGTCTATGCAGATAATCAGTAAAATCTTATACTGCGCGTTACAAAAAAGTTTTTAAACAGTAGATGTTTTCTTCTCAAGATGTGGGTATGTCGCTTTTCAAAACTATGGTTATGCGCACAAATTTGAACCTAAATATTGCAAAATAGTTAGGGACAATTAACATTAATACAGGACCATCTGGGAAATAATTTGCAACAAGCTGATTTTTACAGGAATGTGTTGTCCATAGTGTCAGGAACCACCCCAAAGAGTTTTCAATCTGGATCTGTTGAGCAAAAAAAGTTACAGCCAATTTTCTCCAGGCGCGTATGTCAGCCTGAGGACCGCACTTGAAAAACTCGTAACTATCGTAATAAAGACCCCCAGGAGCACCATAGGGAGTGCAAAATGACCGCAATAGTGACATTATGTGGGGCGAATCAGTGTTTTAGGGTCGTCAGATCTTTACTTATTGAGATAATTTCATTTTTATAGGCTAACCTCTCAAAAATTTACTAAAATTTTGAAATTTTACTTAAATTTGGAAATTTAGCAAAATTGTTATACAATTAAAACATTGTCTAGTTATCAGTATTTAAATTCTAAAATCTGCTTTCAATTGTCAATTGATCCTTATATTAGTATAGTAAATAATATACATATCACATCAAATTCTGTAAAAAAAGGTCCTGAATTATTAGCATGTTGTCTTTGATTGGCAACTATTTGGTCACTTCTGGCTATCCCATTTCCTCAGAGTTGTTTGATTCTCCTGAATCGTCCTGTCTTTCGGGTGCATTAGTGCAACTTAATCCATGACATTGGCCACATGCAGGTAGACATTTAAAGCCATACTTCCGGCAGGAACACCTTAAGTACTTACAAGGGTTCTCAACCTCCACCGAGCAATTGCAGCAAATGAGGTTGAGCATCCCTGCCGGGCCACTCGCAGCTTTAGTCGGGATTGGCCGGTAGTATCCTTCAGAACTCATCTCCCATCCATAATGTAGTGGATTTAGACTTGCAGTGTCGAGTGTCACCCAGTTATGGTACTGAAGATATGATCTTAATATAATATATATGCTCAGTTGCAGAGGATGTAGACGGTGGTAGCCTTGATGGGTTGAGTTTTTTCTTTGCTATCATTCTACTGTAGCTGAGAAATCTGAGAGTTTCAAGTGCCTTGGTTTTATCTCCATAGATATGTTGAAACAAGGAGAGGCCAGCTTCAATTACTTCATTTGTTGAAACTCTCACAGAGAGTAATGATGCTAAATGACCCTCCTCATGAAAAGAAACTGCCTTTTTCAATATCTTTACCTTACCAAAGCCATGTATACTGCTGACCGTGTCACATCCTGAGAAACTGTGAACAAAAAGTAATATATGCGTTTTATGTTGGCATCAAGAGCATTTACTATTTTACTGATCGAGTGTAAGCCGTTTCTTGTCGTCATCACAATTTCATTGTGATTCTCAGTAAAATGATGAATAAGGAGGCAAAGTATATCAGTATCCTCTGCTTTTACCTCAACATCTTCGTAGAAGGAAAAGTTTAAAGCTTTACTAGCTACCATGGTATCAGCATCATCAGTAGCTACATGTGCTTCAATTCCATGTTTTGTAAAAACGTTTGAAAGAAGCTTTATAAGCTCATGCTTGTTCTTTGAGTTGCTGAACAGTTTTTTCATCGGAACTGTGCACACAGTAGTACTTTTAATAGCTATATCAGAGCAGTATGCCTTGATTCTTCGCTGATTCTCATGATCTTTTGTTGATCGGGCATGGCCATCAAACACAACAATGACTTTCCGCTGTTGGGATTTCGGAACTAGCTTAAGGTATTCATTAGCTATGTCGCCGTATGTTTCAAAGCCTGTGAACGAGGTAACTTGATAGAGTAGCCATCCACCATCAATTATTAATGGAGAGGATGGGTTGCTTAATGTCACAGTACAATCAACAACATTCTTGAGGTATTGCCCAAGGGCTGCCTTGTTTGCCTTTCTCATCATCTGCTCATTGTTAAAAAGACTCATCGGCATTGCTGTGAGCTCATATTGCAAGCTTTCCTCCAGTGTAGACTCTCGTTCAGATGCGAAAACAAGCCGTTGAGTACGATAGCGTTGCAGTCCATAACTTATGGGCAAATTCATGAGTTCGCATTCTCCTTCCAGACAAACCCCCTGATGACTTTGCAGCCTTCATTAGTCGCTGTTCGATCGTCAGGTCTGTCCACACACCAGACCACTCGTGTTCATTATAATTTATATCGAACTGTGTGCAGACCTACGACCTTGAACGTTTTGACTAGTGCCCCATACTGGATCTCAAGTACGGTAATCTGCTCAAGATACAGCCGTAGAGCTTTGGAGTACTGACCTCGACCTGCTGCTGCAAAGATAGGCAACATCTAAGCCACACAGATGTAGATCGAAGTCATGTAACCGTTTTGCTCTTATAAAATCTTATATTAAGCAAATGAAACCATGATAAGTTGTCCAAAGAGCAGCTGTGCGGCTGTTCGACGATAACATCTCGAACTTCAGTTTCTTTTCATGAGGAGGGTCATTTAGCATCATTACTCTCTGTGAGAGTTTCAACAAATGAAGTAATTGAAGCTGGCCTCTCCTTGTTTCAACATATCTATGGAGATAAAACCAAGGCACTTGAAACTCTCAGATTTCTCAGCTACAGTAGAATGATAGCAAAGAAAAAACTCAACCCATCAAGGCTACCACCGTCTACATCCTCTGCAACTGAGCATATATATTATATTAAGATCATATCTTCAGTACCATAACTGGGTGACACTCGACACTGCAAGTCTAAATCCACTACATTATGGATGGGAGATGAGTTCTGAAGAATACTACCGGCCAATCCCGACTAAAGCTGCGAGTGCCCCGGCAGGGATGCTCAACCTCATTTGCTGCAATTGCTCGGTGGAGGTTGAGAATAGAACCCTTGTAAGTACTTAAGGTGTTCCTGCCGGAAGTATGGCTTTAAATGTCTACCTGCATGTGGCCAATGTCATGGATTAAGTTGCACTAATGCACCCGAAAGACAGGACGATTCAGGAGAATCAAACAACTCTGAGGAAATGGGATAGCCAGAAGTGACCAAATAGTTGCCAATCAAAGACAACATGCTAATAATTCAGGACCTTTTTTTACAGAATTTGATGTGATATGTATATTATTTACTATACTAATATAAGGATCAATTGACAATTGAAAGTAGATTTTAGAATTTAAATACTGATAACTAGACAATTTTTTAATTGTATAACAATTTTGCTAAATTTCCAAATTTAAGTAAAATTTCAAAATTTTAGTAAATTTTTGAGAGGTTAGCCTATAAAAATGAAATTATCTCAATAAGTAAAGATCTGACGACCCTAAAGCACTGATTCGCCCCACATAATGTCACTATTGCGGTCATTTTTCACTCCCTATGGTGTTCCTGGGGGTCTTTATTACGATAGTTACGAGTGCGGTCCTCCGGCTGACATACGCGCCTGAAGAAAATTAGCTGTAACTTTTTTTGCTCAACAGATCCAGATTGAAAACTCTTTGGGGTGGTTCCTGACACTATGGAAAACACATTCCTGTAAAAATCAGCTTGTTGCAAATTTTTTCCCAGACATTTTGCATTATTCCCTAACTAAAAAGGTAGGTGCGTGCGCGAGTTTACATAGATAAATAATACTGTCAGGAGAAGACTACCCGGAGAAGGCATTGTATTGTACGTATATTGACTTGTTAGAGCTTTCGCTGACGTTGAGGTGGAAAACTTAACACTTCACTAACGTATATTGACTATTGTTTATGATTCCTGAAAAATAGATATAGGCTGGAATTATCACACATGATATTGATTGGAAATACCTTTAATAAACAGGTAACGAACAGTGCTTTATTGAGAGAAGTTTTCACCAATACAATGATAGATCTCCACCGCTCAGGATATACTAGATACTGCCATAGTGCATATGTATTACTATCAGGCTTGGGAACCATGCCACAAGATGGAGATGATATGGTCCGGTAACGGTAAAAATGGTCCGGTTACGGTCGAAATCTCAAGGTACTGTTCCTGGCTACAGGCTGTCGCATCTAATATTGCAATTAGTAATGAAAAGTTAAGTGGTCAAACTGGTTTTGGTAAAGGATGTAGATCTAAGAATGTGGGATGTGAATGTTTTGAATTGATCCGATGCTTTAACTGGTTCCATGGTACACCGTAGTTACTAACTGAAAGTGATGAATCTAGGAATGAAGTTCCGAGCCAATTTCTCCATTAAAAGTTTGAAAAAGTGACCTCTTCAACTGTAGAACTGACTTATTAATCCTAGCAGGTAATTAACTCTGGATCCTCATCAAATTGATTCCATTCTAAATTCTAACCATAAACAACAAAAAAACCATTAACAGATAACTCCGTTTGCCATTTGACATGTTCCAGTGTGAACGAGGCCTTCTCCGGACAAATTCTTGAAGGCAAGTCTTCTCTAGCTGAAGTCCGAACAGTATAATTTATCTGATAAAGTGTATTACTAAGGTGCTCTGCTGATAATTGTAGTAAAGTAATCAATAAATGCCAAAAAAAAAGACCTCTAGCGAGGCTCGAACCGGGGTATTCTTATAAACTTAAGCGGCCTAAGCCGCCGTCCTACGAGGAGCTCAACAAATTTACAATATGTAACGCTATAATCTATATAAAAATACGCGCACGCAAGTAACTTTTCGTTATTTATGGATCCAAATAAAAGCGACATACCCACAATTTTGAGAAATAAACCTCGCGCGACATAAAGCGACATAATCGCAATTTCGCCCACACATTTGCTAGAACACCTCCTCTTTTTAAACGATTAAAATCAAAACCTTTTTATTTGAATGCGACACAAATTGTGAGTTTGTCACTGGGATTCTGGGAATCAATGAGATATAACTAGCTTACCTTGGCAGCTATCTCAGGCAATTCCACGTTATCGTCCAGGCTGTATCTTGCAAGTATCATGCATTTAACGAATCTCTTCATTTGCTGAAAAGTTTGTACATTATCAACTATATAAGATTATCTAATGGCTATAGTTCAAATTTCTTTTAAGGCCGAAAAATAGAAGATCAAGAGCATGAAATATGAAATCTGAGCGAATAAAAACTCACAGCAGCTTTAAGAAAAGAATAAGGAAGTTTGAAGACGCTCCTATAGTAGGGCAACATAACATTCTGATAGTTACTCTCTTCTAACCAAAGTGAAAACATCTGAAATATGATAGTAGTGAAAAGATATAGAAGATTAGAATTGTTATCTAGAAGTTAACAATAAGCACGTGATATTTAACGAGGAAAATGATATGGAAAATGAACTCCATGAATGCTTTTGGCTCTGTTGCGGAAATAAAACTGCGATAAACCATTTTTGCTCTAAACAAACATAGCACAGCAATGATATCGCAAATATTTGTCTTACATACGCAGTGTTCGTATGGTTAATTATATTTGACTGCATGTTCCACTTGTAGGTGAGTTTTATTGTATTTGTTCTATTGTCTTATAGGACGGTTCCGTTTTTCTATAGGACAGATATAAATTTCCTAATTTGTAAACTACCGTATTTTACGCTGTGGTGCAATGTCGGCAGTACAGAATCAAAAAGTGCAGAGAATTGGTATGTCGGCATAGTTGTAATATTATTATGTGCTCCAGGAAGTATTTATGACGGGATGAATGGAATGCTACATTTAGCTATCTTCATCCTCAAGTTGTTTACCATCTCTTTTTCTCATCGTAAGTAACTACTTTTACTTTTAATTTTAGAATTTTCTTCAATATGACTCATTGGAAATGACGGTCGATACGTTCTGAATCGATACCTTATTTATATGTATCCTTGTTTTCTCATATTAATACATATTATATGTAGATATACTAAGCAAGTATCGCCCTAATTAATTAACTTAATCAGCCCCTATAATATATCAATTACAAAGGTTAATTACAAAGTTAAATAAAATACAGGATGTTGATCAGATACCACCTCACAACTACTATCGCAGAATACGACCCGTGTAGATTCCCCGGTACAGATTACTTGGGAGGGGACCTGGGTAAAGTTATCCTACAAACAGAGGAACAATGTGTCAACCACTGTCTGGAATTCCCGGAATGTATAGCTGTCACATTGGTTGGTAGTAATCCTAGCCATTATGGGGCCCATTTAGAAGGCTGCCACAAAAAGTCGAGCGGTTGGACGGTGAATAGCGGGACTGCTTATGTGGCTAAGATGGTCTCTATTGATGTTTCCTGTATCAGGAACAAACGTGAGTGTTCAGTGTTTTTATTATTGATTGAACTTGCTAGTTGTTGCACGTGGTGTTGCACGTGGTGTTGCACGTGGTGATGCACGAGGTGTTACACGCGGTGTTACTCGCTGATTGTGGAAACTTGACGATAATCCGAGGGACAGATTAATTTTACAATAAGCTTCAGAGAACCAAATTGATCTGAATAAAGCTCTAGAGTCGCATGTTTACCTGACTACATTGAATTTGTTTTACTTAATTTAAGTGAAGTGGAATATATCAGGTACATGTTCTTATGTGGGACCTAGGATTCTTATTTCAAAATTTTACTACCATTTCTCTTTTATCGACTTGCAATACTACATAATATAGCACTTCCGTTTTGCCATTTAACTTGTTTCTTTGTTGCCTTGTGTGGAGCATCATTCTGTTTCGTATTTCTCGTTGTACAGTTTTGTGATAGTGGCAGCGTTGTTTTTTGTTACTGAACTGGGGTGTATGATTCTCAAACTCAAAGAGTATACCCTCTTTTGTAGGCAAGCTCACGATAGGAAGACACTACTCTGCATCCCAACAAGGAGACAAAACATTAGAGATAACAGCAGCTATCAGCAATCTAGCTGACAGAGCCTTCAACAACGACATGTCCAGATACAAGATAGACGGAAATGGAGTATGGGAGTTTTATGATGATGTAGATTTTATCGGGGAGCCATTGTTTGTAGGAAGAGGTCCTGTTGGTTGGACAGGAGTTGAGTCAGTGTATAACGACAAGCTTTCTTCTGTTAGACCTGGACAGGGTAATTGTTTGATAATTGTAGTTGTAGTTTTTCAGCATATAGTGCTTAATTTGTTGTTGTCACTAGAAATGTGATCACTACACAAGAAGGCGTTAGTTTTTGTTAGCTTTATCCAATATTCTCCACTGGATTGGATATTTTATGAGATTGGATTATTTTTAGTGATTTCTTGTGCCACAATTAACGTCCACACCTCATGACATAATCCGTTTATTCTCCGCTAAGTTCTCTAAAAATCACTCAGTCTCAAACTTGGTAAATACCTCGTATCTTAGATAAGCAGTTAAATAAATATCTGAAATTTCTCAGCAACTATAGAAGCCTACCATGGTTTCGTGGTGGTGGGGAAGACTGCGACTATCTCTTGTGTGATAACTAACATCCAGTCTGAACAAACAGCGTCCTGGACTTTGGGTATGTACCCCCATACTTAGCGACACAATAAGTCGTAGCATGTTTTGTAAATACGACTTAATGGTACTACACCATTTATATACTGCCATTATACGTACACTATATTTTATTACAATGTACTAAAATGATACAATGAAACTAGTACACTAAAAGCTCTCAACATACTAACCGACACATACATTTATTGTTATAGTAAACTTAGTTTTAAAGTTTGTTTTAATGTTTAATTCACTTTTTATTATAGATATAAGTTCATTAATAACTGACAATTGAGAATGAGAAAGAGGAGATGGCTCCTGTTCCACCTAGATAAACTCAGTAATTCCAGGAGACACAACATTAACAGAGACATCAGGTTCATACTCTGAGGGAACACAGAAAACTGTTCTAGAAGTAGAGAAGGTGGCAGGAGATAGAGTTTATAAATGCAGTGTGCCCAACTCCAGGATACTAGAAGTCTTGGTATCAGCTAAAAGTTTGTATTTTGTAAATAAACTTTTTGTTATCATAACTTGCTGCATCAACGTTTCTGCAGTGAGTGGCAAAATGTTGGTGAGTCTCCGTTTCCTAGGAATACCACAAACTAAACCCCATTTCTCCTAGATTACAACCAGTGCAGAGAAGAAGGAACCTCTCTCTCTGGGGGAGACTATGAAGGACAAGTTTCTAGTGATGCTGCGAGTATTGCCTCTGAAGACGACTGTGTTAACTTTTGTTTACAACTTAATGGCTGTTTGGCAGTCACATGGGTTCGTTTTCTTTTATATACATACAAGAATCTCTTGATATATAACATTTTTTCTCGCATAAACACTTTATGGTTAAACGAATTGATTCATTATGAGGAAGGGGCATGATGTTAAACTATCATTCCCAACACCTTTTCAGGTAAATACAGAACCAGCGAATACTGATAGAGAACGAGGTTGCCAGGTCAAAAACAGCGACAAATGGATAGAAAATACAGATGAGATCTCTTCAGAAACTGCCACAGTCAAGATGAACTGTGTCAAAAACACTCTTTCACCTGGTCAGTAATAATTTGAAATAATTTAACAGTTTGGACCAAATTGGGTGGCTCCTTTCAGTAATCAGTATCAACCATTAAAACTGAGTACATCTATACACTGTACAGTATACAGTATACATATATATACACACTATAATCAGCCGTCAACCAACTAAATGCTAACACTTCCACCATCTACAGATTGGAAAGAAGTAGAAAAAGGAACAACCTTCACCCACACCCTCCTCCTAAAACCTCTCCTCTTTAAAACTACCACCATCACCACAGACTCCATCGTGCACATTGAACTCTACAACAAACTAAACAACAAAATATCCTCCCTATACTTCCGGTTCTCCGACAACTCCTACACCTACTCCCCCTGTACTGCTGAATACCAGCAGCAGCTCCATAACGTACCAGAACAACCTGATCAGCTGACATGGAGTGTGTCCCGTACGCGTGGGGAGGTGGTGGTGGGGTGTGGTGGGGTGGAGGTGTTGAAGTATCAGTATGAGGGGAGTTTGAGTGGGCCGTGTCAGCTGGGCAGGAGTGAGAGTGTCAGGGGGGTCAAGTTTGGAGCCATGGATACAGCTAGTGCTTTCTACAAACAGTCTAGTGGTTTGGGTAGGTATTTGTTATATATTTATATTATATATTTATTGTAATCAATATTATCTTATAGCTTTATAGTCACTTAAAACTCATTCACCATCTGTACACTTGGTTAATCATGATATATTTCATATCGTCTTCTAGTCAGATCTACCGTAACTAGGCCACGTGGTGTTTGTTGTCCGTCAATATTATTAGCGATAAACATTACTTTTCCTGACACTTAAATATTTATATTGCTGTGCAACCATCTGTCTTCAATGTCTAATACAAAAATGTCGTCGCTTGTATCTTGTGTGTTTTTGTTCCTTTTTGTTTTGTTTAATATCCCCTATCTACCCGCCGTGCGCAGCCTGTGATTTCAATGTGATACTTTATCATAGAACATGGTGCTCAAACGTGCATTTCGCTGAAAACTTCTTTCATCTGTGTACAGAACAGCAAGCAAATTTACTGTATAACCGGTCAGTATAATAGCTTCTAAATGGTTCATTATGTAATCATCTTAACCCAGATATCATTGTTGAAATTAACAGTCCCTATTTAATCTCAAATAAGAAGAGTGGTTTATATGTCATAATAATATCTGATTGAAAGTGAAGATAGATATACACTAACGATGGCAGTATACAGTGACTCAGTAATGAGAGATGTGATCGCTGTAATCTCTGATGTTTCTCTTGGGGACAGATGTTCGTCCATCTGCACCTCCTGAAAAAGAAATTTTAAGTTATTGGATCACTCATTTACCAATACTATCCGTGCTGAAGAAGAATATTGAAACATGTTATATCCTGAAGAATTTAAAAAACTGTTGATATTGTCGATTATGAACTTTTAATAATTTGAGTGTCACGGCATTCGATTATTGTAAAAAATGTGTTTTGACCAATTTTGTAATTGACACAATTTATAATAAGCATATTGTTTTTGTTGTATTATAATTACGTGACAAGTTGACTTGGTTTAGTAATTATAGAAGTGAAATATGAAAATAAGAAAATATGAAAATGTGCGTAAAGTTGTGGGCTGATGCGTATTATATAATAATATCTGCTTTCTTATAATACAGAACTGATTGTGGATGCAGGTTGCAAAAGAATCCAATTGATCAAAGGTCAACGTGGCATATACTACGGCTCCATTAAAATACCAAGGAAATTGACAATCAATAGATTTAAATATATTCCGATCTGAATATTACCATGTTAAATCCGGCTATTTATTCAATTTGAATAGCTTATAATTTGGTTTTGTGGCATTTACAGAGTAAGACTGAATGAACTGATTATATGGAGGAAGATTAAGATGGACGAAGGAGGTAACACGATATATTATTATACAATCTCCTTATTACGGGGAAGTGATGTATCCCCATCTAATTTTCCCTGATACAAAATACACAAAAGTTACAGATCTCAGATATATGATTATTTTTGGTCCTTTCGATAGTGATACTCACGAGTATACAGTACTATCACTGATACTGTGTTTCATTGTGTTACTTTGTATCAGATACAGGTAGTAAGCACTGTCCGAAGGAATTGTGTATTTTGTGCTATTAGGATTGACTCGGGCTTATCTCCAGATCATACAAATTATACAGTCCACCTTAATACAGTCTACCTAAGTGACAACTTTTATAATAAACTATACTAGGAGAAGTAAACAAATTGTTGGGTTATTATAAATAGGATCACAGTAGATCAGAATACGAACAGGAACTAGAAGGTAATAGACTGACATAAGAAATGTATCACTAAAACGTTTTTTAATTCACCTTGTATACTAGATAGCCAATGATGTTCTGTGGTGTAGTCAGATACTCTTCTGTCTCTGCAAGTGTGAGTACAGGAAGGTTCTTACCATTCCAGTCTCCCCTGCACGCTGACATGGGAACATCAAATCCGCACATCTTGCAGTATGTCTGAAAAATAAGTTTGTATTGAGAGACACGTTTATAAAGTTACAAGTAGAAGTACAGACTTCTGTAGAGTGTAGTATTACCCATTGATCGTGATTGCAAAGAATACAATTTTTATGCTAAAAACTAGTGCCTAGCCACTATTTAACTTGAATTTTAAAAGCAAATAAGTCTACTTGAGCAAGCAGTGGTGGTAAACAAAATATTATTCAAATTTTTATCTAAAAACAATATTTAATCTACTTACAATCACAGCCAAACATTGAGGATCAATCGAGGGTAGCCCCCAGTCTCCACGCCAAATCTGAAGTTCCATCCTATAAATATAATCATTAATTATTCATTAATCACATAAAGTTTACCAAGTCTACTTTTAGAAGATAAAATGAAGTGATAAACATTATTATACCATGGGGTAAGATGTCACAAACCACACATAAATGAGCAACGGATCATACATAGTTTAAAGTTCAGGTTACGTAGCAGGATAATAGACACTACTTAGGTTCCTTAATCTTTAAAGAGCTTTTGATATTGCACTTCATCTTTGAAACAATATTTATACCAGCTTATCTACTGATATCTGAACCATATTCTGCTAAACTACTAAATATTTAAGGGTTTCTGTAAAATCTCCAGAAGTCCAGAGACTGGAAAGTTTAAATGTAGGTATTATCTAAATATATATTCACATCCTTTCTCAGGAAATCTGGACAAGGATCAAACCAAATAATCAATTTTTTAGTTGAGCAGCAATTCTCATAAGAATTAATTAATTGAGTCTTTTCATCTCCTCCCTCAGCTTAGCTGATTAGCGATTGGCTGTTACCCAATCTTCGTTCTTACTCAATTTGTAAAATGGTCAACATTTCTCACGCGTGTGGTGTAACTGTGTAAGGAACTAAAATCATAACTGCAGTTAAATAGTGGTTGCTCGGCATTACTTTGCTATTCTTGCTTAGATATTGTTCCTGACGTGGCTCAAATTTTCTGAAGGTCATTTCTTTCAGTGGTATTTGGGATTCGTGCACTTATAATTATGTTTTGTTATTTTGCCCATAATAGATCCGAATCCACTATTAACACAGATTATATACGTGGATTGGGCTTTTGTCAAATTATCAATTATGATATTAATCCTTATTGCATATAAGCCATAGTTTGTAATTACACAATAAGTATATTTAATCGCGACCACCTATCAAATCAAATAGGTGATCGTGATGATACTGATGCTGATTTGAATCCATGGGAAACAACGTCTAGTCTTCTAAATAACTGCAAATACTATACCGCGAAAGCAATAAAAAATACGAAGGAGTATGAATTAAAACTTTTCTCGCTAAACGTTAGGTCACTTAATGGGAACATTGAAGAATTTCGGGAGAATATAGATCAATACACAAAATACGACGTTCTCTGCTTCAATGAAACAAATTGTAACACGGAATGTTTGCCTTTTCAGGGAGAGGAGCTCGAACTAGACGGTTTCTATCCACCGTATGTTCAGACTCCCGCCAGAGCGTCAAATCGTGGTGGAGGATTAGTTATATATGTTAACAAAAAACTATGTGAATTATCTGACATAAACGTCAAGAGCGCTCTATGTTGCCACGATAATCCTAAGATAGGAGAATTCTTGGTTGCAGAAATTACCTTGAAAGGGCACAAAAACGCGTTAATCTGTAATATATATCGCTCTCCAAGTGGGGATTTGAATGGTTTCCTTGAACAATTAAAAATTTTCCTCCGTAACTTAGCAAGACATCGAAACAAAAATATCATACTGGCCGGTGATACTAACATAGACCTACTAGATTACGGGAGAATAGACTCTGTCACTAAGTATATGGACACTCTAGCAGAGCATGGGTTCGCTCCTGTGATATCTAGACCAACTAGAGTCACAGATCACAGTGCGACAATCATTGACCATATTTTCGTCAATAATTGCCACGCTGTTACAAAATCGGGAGTAATTTCTGAGTCAATCTCTGACCACTTGGCAACTTTTGTCACAATCATGGTTGATCAGAATAGGCTCAGTTGTAAACTTCAAGAAGATACAACAGAAATTTCTTCTCGAGTAATAAACGATGACAGTATCCAAAAGTTCGAGAACGACATTTCTGCGGTAGACTGGAACTTGGTTAATAACTATGATTCTGTAGATGAAAAATTTGAGGCTTTCGATAAAAAATATAGTGAACTATACGACCGAAATTTCCCAATTAAGGCAAAAAAGAGTAAACCAGGCCGCCGTAAAAACACAAAGCCGTGGATCCAAGAATGGTTACGGTGCGCATGTGATCGCAAAAATAAATTTTATGAAGATTTTGTCACAAACCCGACCACTGAAAATGATATTAGGTACAAGAAAATGAAGAAATTTGTGAATAAACACGTGGATAAGGCCAAAAACAAATATTACAACGCGTACTTTACAAAATATTCTAGCGACAGCAGAAAACAATGGCAAATGGTTAATAACTTGTTAAACAGAAAGAAAAAAGGCAAAATTAAGATAAACAAAATTAACTATAATGGGAGCGAGATAACAGATTCTCAGCAAATTGCGAATAGCTTCAATGACTATTTCTGCAATATAGCTGAGACTCTTAAGAGAGAAAATGGTCTCGTATGCTCTGAGGGCAGGACTATCGTAACAGAAACTCAAGATAGCAAATGCCAGCGGAGCATGAATCTAGAAGATTCGTTCGCATCAGAAATAATTGAAATAGTTAAGGGTTTGAAGATTAAGTCGACTTCTGATATGAGTATACTTCCCCTGAAAAAAGTGAGCAATATACTTGCACCAGTGCTTAGCTGCCTAGTCTCTGCGTCTCTACATCAGGGGAAGTTTCCGCATAAATTGAAAATCGCGAAAGTAGTTCCACTTCACAAAGGTGGGTCACGTGCTGAAGTTTCAAACTATCGACCTATCTCACTACTCTCATGTTTCTCAAAAATCTTTGAAAAAATTATGCAAGCGCGACTATTAGATCACTTAAAGACAGAGAAAATCCTATTTGACTCTCAATACGGATTTCGGGCTGGGCACAGCTGCGAACATGCTTTACTAGAAGCCCAAAACCATATTCACAGGGCACTAGAAAAAAAGCAGGTCACAGCACTGCTTCTATTGGACTACAGCAAGGCCTTTGACATGGTTGACAGCAGTATTCTTCTGAGAAAACTTGAGCACTATGGAGTTCGGGGGTTGGCTTTATCTTGGTTTCACTCATATCTAACCGATAGAGAGCAATACGTGAGCGTCAACAACTGCAAGTCCTCTCACCTCAAACTTAACTACGGAGTACCACAGGGCTCCATTCTCGGACCAATTCTGTTCATAATCTACATCAACGACCTTCCTCAGATTAGTAATTTAGCTAAACATATTTATTTCGCTGACGACGCAAACCTAATAATAAGTACAGATACATTTGAACAACTTAATGCATTGGTGAATGAGATTCTGACTTTGATAATTGATTGGGCTACTAATAACGGGCTTAAATTAAATGCTAGCAAAACTAAATATATGATCTTTACAAATAAGAAAACTAAGGATATAGAAATCTACATGGGAGGCGAGCGACTAAAGCAAAGTTATCACGAAAAGTTTCTTGGCGTGATCATTGATACTAAGCTAAATTGGGCCCACCACATTAGACATTTAGCCACTAAAGTATCTAGAAATGCGAGTATTCTCTACAAACTCAAAGGCTCAGTACCTAACAAAGCACTCAAGTTGATATACAACAGCTTTGTTCAGTCTCACTTGTACTACTGCTGCACAGTTTGGGGAACAAGATCGCTAAACTCCGTTAAAAGAGTCTTCTCGGCCCAGAAAAAGGGCATTCGCGCTGCAGATAACCAATACCACCGCTATTTTTATGACAAAGATCTGAATAGCACACCTTCACACACAAAGGAAATTTTCAATAAACTAGAAGTATTAGCTTTACCGAACGTGATAGCTAAATGTATATTATGCTTAATGCACAAAGTTTATTCTAACACTGCACCACCAAATATTATAAGAATGTTCACTGTTTCAAACTTAAACGCACCTAGAAGAGAACCTGAGTTCTTTGCAGTACCATTTAACCGTTTATGTAATTCAGACAAGAGCATTTCTTACATTGGGCCTAAGTTATATAACCAAACAGTCAACATAATTAACAAGGACATAAAATATGTCACCACTTGCCTACAAGACAAATTCCTAAATTCATTCAAGTCTACAGTCAACAAGCATGTGCTTACTGCACAAGCACATAAACCGGATGACAAGGACTGGGACAACTCAACTTTCGTACTTTTAGAAATTTAAATAATTTGGTACAACATACGTTGATCATAATAACGAGCAACAAAACTTTAACCTCATAACAAAATATGACTATCTTCGAGCATTTTTTACAATGCTATCGACACCGCGCAATTTCACTGTCATTTACAACTTTTAAAAGATAAAAATATCACCGCGCATTCTTCAGACCCTGTGTCGCTGTTCTAAATTTATGTCAAGAGATAAGAGTTATTTAAAATTCTTAATAGTACTATTTAAATTTGCTAATAGCATAATCATATTTTATACATTATTAATACTTTATACATTGTGTGCATATATTTATATTTGATTGTAATTAAAGATTTTAAGGCGTTAGTGCTGAGTAATGCCTTCGGGTAGTGCTCCTCAATCAATCAAGTTCCGCATTTCTAAGAGCTATACGACCAGACCAATGATGTTTCCTGTTTAGACCTCTAGCAGTCAACATAGGTTAAATATCAAATCAACAAGCAGTACGTTGTAAGTCAAAAGTTTTTCTGGAAACCACTTTTCTCCACGTTTCATGCTAGTTCATTATTAGCCGAAAATATTCTTTCGGTTTTCCGAAGTCCGCACCTAGTCAAAACATTTTTGATTTTTTAAGGATTCGAATTTCGAGTTAAAATGTGACGAAAAATATGCATTTCAAGATTTTAGAAAAACATTACTTTGAAGAAATATCCGGCAAAAATCCGGCATAGTTTTTTGAAACCGGAACCGGATATCGAAGCCGGATATCCGGCCGGATCCGGATTCAGCCAGATATCTGGTCGGTTCATAGCACAGAAGCTGAATGTACAATATTTTCTTTCTCTAGAAGACAGGATCGTCGGAGAATGTTTTCTTTCTACTCTCTTCTCCTCTTTGCAGTGGAGATAATTGCTGCTTCAGCCGGTGACGGTAAATATCTGTACAATTTTTATGAGTTACTGAATTATTAAAACTACAAATCAATAACATCATATAATTCAACGACATTAGC